TAGATAGGTAGGTAGGTAGATAGTCAGAGAAAGAGATAGAAAGAGTGAGAGAGATCAAGCACCTTTCAGTCCATCAGTGGCTTCGCTCTGCCATCCCTGATTCACAACAACCAATCTCTCCTATAGGTTTCCTATTTTTGAAACTTCCGCCACCGCCTTGTGCGGTACTACTGGTAGAAATATCATGGAAATCCCATAGGAATCCCACAGACATCCCATAGAAAGATCATAGATATAACATGGGAATAGCATAGGAATCTCACAGTATTCCCATAAAAATCTCGTAGAAGTCCTTCAGGAATACCATAGTAATCCCATAGAAATATCATAGAAACATCATGGAACTCCCATGGGGAAGCCATGGGAATCCCATAGGAATCCCAGAGAAACATGATAAAAATACCATAGAAATCTCATACGAACGCAATCGGAATGCCATAAGAATACCATTGAATTCCCATCACCCCTTCAGAAATACCATTAAAATATCATAGAAAACATCATGGAAGTTCCATAGGAATGCTATAGGAATCCCATAGAAACCCAATAGAAACCCCATAGAAATATCATAGAAATCCAATAGAAATTTTCATGGAACCCCCACAGAAATCACAGAGAAATCCCATAGAAAAATCATAGAAATACCATAGAGGTCCCGTAGAAATCTGATAGAAATCCAATGGAAATCCCATAGGCACCCCTCTGAAATCCCAGAGAAATTCCAAAGAACAACCATGGAAATCCCATAGAAATCGCACAGAAATCCAATAGAAATCCCATAGTAATCCCATATAAATATCATAGAAATCTAAAAGAAATATCATGGAAATCCCAAAGAAACCCCGCAGGAATCCAATGGAAATCCCATAGGCATCCTTTTGAAACCCCATAGGAATCCCACAGAACTACCATGGACACACCTTTAGAAACATCATAGAATCCCATAGAAACACCATAGACATTACATAGAATTTCCATAGAAATTTTGTCAAAATCCCATAGACAAGCCATAGAAACCAGGGAGAGGATGCCAGGAGAATTGAACTAAGTAAGAGACAAAAGCTATAGCAAAGGAAAGGAAGAGGAAATGAGAGAATGATTTTGGAACATTTTTACTGCCAAAAAAAACTGGACACAATAGAGGACCACCACAACAAACATACTATTGAGGATCAGGGTTGCTCATGGACTACTCCCTTGAAAAAATGTTTGAGTGCTGTTTTTTGATTGGGTTTTAATAAGGCATCCTATATTTTGGGAAATTAAACATTTCGAGAATGTCAAAAGAATGGAGCTAAGAAAGTAAAAAAGAGAAACGTATTAGCAAAGGAAAGGAAATGGAAAGGAGAGAGTGATTTTGGAAAATGTTTACTTCCAAAAAAAAACTGGACACAATATAGGACCACCACAGCAAACATATTAGTTAGGATCAATATTGCTCATGAAAAAACTGAAACAATTGAAATAAAACATATTCAGACAACAGTTGGACACAATAGAGGGCCGCCACAAAAAAAAAACAACATATTATTTATTTAGGATCAATATTGCTCATGAAAAAACTGAGAAATATTAAACAAAAAACTAAAACAGTGAATTATATGTAAAAAAACATAGAAAAATGAAATAACTTTAACAACAAACAAACAAATAATTTTAAATGAAACAAAACCGACTCACCCCATCAATTCTTCTGGGTCTGAATTATTTCAAAAAAATTGAAACAAAAGAGGCCCACCACACTAATCAGGATACAACATTATCAACAGTTGAAGCGGGATCCCGTTTTAAGGGAGACAGGGATTCCAGCAATCCATTTTGGTTTTATATTGGATGGTATTGCCAAGAAACTGAGGTAAGCTACGTTCAGACAAGCCCAAATTGGTATCCCATGAAATTTAACATTATTTATCCCCGTTCTGGTTGGTTAATGCCCATGAAATATTCTCTATTAGTATATCCTATAGTTGCTGTGTATATGCCAATATATCTTATGAAATCCCCGTGATAGTTGGTTTATACGGGCCGTTTTTGTTGGTTAAATCGCCATCAGGTTCTATGACATAATGGTCATAAAGCCAGCATCAATCCCCTTCCAAGCATATTCAATGACACCCTTTATAGCTCATTATACTTGGTGTATACCCCATGAATACTCTATCAATCCCGTTTCTATAGCTAAAACCCCAGGAAAAAAAACAACCCCCCAGAAAGGGATAGCACGTGTTTCCAGGATGTCATTTGCATGATATTTGCCAAATATATTTCTAGGTTTCCATGATATCTATGATGTTTCTTAAAAAAAAACGCAACATATGGAGCTTTCTAGCTGCGAACAAGATCCATGGTGTCAGGCTGAGCTGGTGAAGTACGGCGATGGTACCCAGGCTTGGCAGTTGATTTCAATCAGATTATTTGTGACCTCTAAAAAGATGTCGGACAGTGATTTAGCTATTGAAAATGGTGATTTATAGTGGATTTACCCATTGATAGCATGGTGGATCTTTCCATAGTTATGTAAACGTGTACCAGAGGGTAGTAGTCATAATTAACAAAAGTTTAACTTACTCAATGAATATAGGATAATATAACATCATGACCTCCAAATGATTATCATATAGTGATCATGTTTTTTCAATATTTGAGTAGTTTTTTGTCTTTTTCGGGTGGAGGTTAGATATACACTTGTGATGCAATGTATTCTAGTGCAAGACATATAAAGATTATGTTCTGTGTATGTAATGCAATGCAATGCAATGAAATGCAATGCAATGCAGTGTAATGTATGCGTGTACACACTTGCAACCCAAAGCTCCATTAACTCTGGTTTGTGATACTTGTAAAATCTTATTATAGTATTCATGGGTTTTGTAAACCAGCAGCCATTTCACTGGGGGGCCGGCCCCCCCATAGAGATCCATAGAGTATATAAAATTTAACGCTGTCTATCTGTCAAATTGGTAAGCCAAAAGAGCGCTGTCTTGCTGAAAATGGCTCATGAAATCACCCAATTGTTCCCATTTTTGGCATCAGATCGCTACTTCTGAAACATACAAATTATTACAATCACCTTTTATATATCACCAATTATATAATTGAACTAATTAGTTATTCTCATCTCACTGTTAGCAGGTATGAACACCAATTATTGAATTGAATTCTAACTCCGAAATCCAACAATGATCAGCCCAACAAAAATAAATCCTGGAACTATCATAAATTCTATCATAATTCTAAATATATATATAATATATATATATATAATATAATATATATATATGTCTGTCCAAGTACTCACTTCTACTCCCTCAACAAGCCGCCCAACAAAAGCCCACCCGCACCCATGGAGATTCCCGCGAGGTCTTGGACACGGAAATACAACAAATGTGGGCGGGGGACCTTGATCTGGGAAAAAAGACCCATCCGAATGGTGGATTGGTATTGACTTAGACCATCCAAATAGCACCTCAAGAATGGTGATTTTTTGTATTTTCAACAGTACTTTATAGCTCATCATGGGGTAACCCATCGTTTTACGGGAACGGAAGGTCGAGGTACACCTCCCAAACGATATTTAAACATAGAATGTCAATGCAGAAAAGTGAGGATGAAGTGTGTTTTCTTTTTGGCGGGGGGTTCACCATCTTCCGACAATCCCGAATGGGAAAGCATATATACTGGTTGGTGGTTTGGAACATTTTTCATTTTCCTTTATTATAACGGAGTAATCCTTCCTATTGACGAACTCCATCATTTTTCAAGATGGTTATTGCACCACCAACCAGGTAATCAGTATATATATAATTATATATATATATATATATATGGGATTATATGGGATAATTACATGGCATATGTTCCATAAGATTTGAACAGTGATATGGGTTGCTCAATCTGACGTGGATTTGGCTTGCCAGCAGGGGGTGAATTGGTTTGCGTTTCCATTGTTTGCCAGTTGATGTGCCTCAAGTGAGCCATTCAACATGGTTGATTGGTGCCGGGAGTTATACTACCTGGGTTCTTGGGGATATTAGGGAAAAGTATCAACCAACTAGTATTTTTAGAATGTCTCAATTCACCTGCTTGTAGCGATAGGCTTCGAAGCAATTGAAAAGAGGTCGGAGATGTAAACAACACAGATGTGTGAAGACCAATGGAGAGATGTCAGAGATGTTACTACGGAAGTACGGAAGTTGACGTCGTTTCTGGTTTGGAAATGTTTGGAACAACATTGGTTTTCTTGAGAAAGATATGGATCTTGAATAAGTCATCCTAGTCATTTTGCTAAGGATCTTACAACATCTCACAACTGAAAAGTATAATCAGCTACCCAAATGCAAACTATAGAAGTGATATGTGCGCCGTGCGCAGTTACATCCCAAATTTAGTATAGAACAAAGCCGGCCATAACACGCATATATCTAGACAATCATGCGATGAATCTGTAGCTGTTAACCCTTTAGTTCACCACCATTGGATGTTCCTGGCGCCCATAGTGTTTTGTTGCCTCAGTCCTTCGTCAGTGGATTGATTTGCCAGAAAAAATACCCTGGCCGATCCAGTGATTTGTCGTATCATTTTCCCTATGAACAGTAATTTGGATGGGTACATTACCCATTTTCAGCTACAAAAACCAATATGATCCAATATGCGATCATGATTTTTATCCCGACATACAGGGGTACAGGGCTCACTAGACCCTAGATGTCCTAGACCAGACGTGTCTCATGTCGCGCGAAGTATCGGGAAGTCGTTCCACATCCGTTGTGCCATGGTGATTTGCCGATGGCGGGTGACGCCTGCATTTCGTGGGGCGTTTTTTGATTTTCGTTGTGCCTTTTGGTAAAGTGAATTCAGGTTCAATGGGGTGTGAAAGGTCTAGCGCTCGTACAAGGTGGGTGCCCAGTTATTATGTTTGTTGGTTTAGTTAAATTTAGCTAAGTACCCCATTCACCGGCTCATTGTAATTGCCATATATAGAACGAAATTCACCACCTTAGCTATTATTTGCAGCCTCCATCGTGGCATTTTTCTGGATCACATCGGATCCAGGTCACATTGGCCCTGGACATTCTCTACGCCTTCCCGGGCCTTGATGGTGCGTTGGCGCAAAGTTGTTTGCAGGTGGGGTCTTTTGTCGGGAGATGTCGATTGGTTTAGTTGCAGCCCATTAACATATGGGAAAATATGGGAAAATATGGGAAAATAGGGAAAGATGGGAACATAGGAACAGATCTGAAATATGTGGGAAAATATGGGAACATCTCTATCACTGGAGGTTTTTATAGAAACATCAGCTATAAATGGAGGATTTTCTACCACTCTATGGATCCAAACAGCTCTTGAGACAACTTAGCTAACAAACTGGGGCACCCTTGTAGATGCTGGGTCGAACCAACTTTTTTAGGAGATGGGTGGTTGAGTTTGGTGAGTATGATATATATATATATATATGATATCTGGTTGGTGGTTTGGAACATTTTTTATTTTTACATATATGGGGAATAATAATCCCAACTGACTTTCATATTTTTCAGAGGGGTTGAAACCACCAACCAGATATATATATATATATACACATACACCTTCAAATCACCAAGAAAGGAAGCTGTGACAAATAGCAAGACGGGCAAACAGGGGGGGGGTTCCGTACAATCATGCCCACATGATCAGACATTTTCACTTAGAATGTCAGCAACAAGAAAATGGAATAATTATGGGACTATGACTAGGACTATGGTCTTGAGAGTTCCTGTCAAGCTTGTCATATAACCCCACCCACCATATTGGTGATGTTTGGGAGGGAATCATCCTGGAGATGCTGGGGAATTGGGGATGATTTATGACAATTATGATAAGCAACGCCCTTTTGGTAATCAAAAGTTAGATCCTGCTGAACTCTGGTTAGTAATCGGAGAATATTTCGAAAGTGAGCAGAATGGATGCCGTTGGGATTGGTTCATCACCATTTTTTGGGGTCCCGATGCCTTTGAGTAGACTCACGCCTACAAGTTAGTCACTTTTAGTAAAGAAAGCCATGTTTCTAACATTTTTTGGAAGCCATTTTCTGTAAACATCTTGATCATTTTCTGGGGAACTATAGGCTTTAAAATCTACCCCAGTTTACGAAACACTTCTGGGTCTTCGTGGGCGATCTTAACTCTCAACGGGCCAAGCGACGGGCTTTTTTCAGTTTGGGGTCTGGGTCGACATCGATGGATCAAGATTGAAATGCTTCAGTACCCTCTGGTAAACGTTTACATAACTATGGAAAGCCACCATTTTTAATGGGAAAATCTACTATAAATGGCCATTTTCAATAGTTTTTTGTATGTTTACCAGTGGCTATGCTGTTGGATGCAACCAACGAGCGCACGCACTTTGCTTTGTTGGGATAAACTGGGAACTCTGACTGTTGGCGCTATGAACTGGTCAAAGGCTTTCTAGATGTATCTACCTGGTTGGTGGTTATGTATCTACATTCTACATTCATTGTATTCTGGTTGGTGGTGACTGGAACCATGGAATTTTATGACTTTCTATTGGGAATGTCATACTCCCAATTGACGAACTCATATTTTTCGGATGGGTAGGTCAACCACCAACCAGGCACTCCAGTCAGTACGCAGAATGTCCGACAAACCACGACCTCGGTGCAAGTCAAGAAGAGTTCTTGCCGTCCTCACGGAGCGCTGAGATTTTTCAACATGAAACCATATCATTCTATGGATTTCTATGGCAATGCCCAAGTGAAGAGCCCTTTCAGCCAAATGATACACCATGAAAATTGCGGTCCCATGTCAAATTCACAGAAAATTCTAAAGGTTTTTTTTTGGGTGCAAACCCTGGTTTCTTCCGTAAATGTGGCAAACAAGAAAACCAGCCTTGGTACCGCCATAAACATGTTTATCATATCATCAGGCAGTTTGTTTATTTTGGTTGTTTTGATTTGTGGAATTTTGGGGTCACCTATTCTCGGACGAAACCATCTCGTATTGTTGATTATATCATACGATCTATCCCATGACATGTATACACTGTTATATATATTACCATTGATTACTTCACATTTAGAATTATTTGAAAACAAGTTTTTTTTTTTGAATAATATGTATATATATATATCCCATATATCCCATGACGGATCCTAACGGTGCTGCTAGAAAAATGGTGTGCCATGGATCCCATCAACCGTCATGGGTAATGCTATATGTATATCTCCAGAATTCTCCAAACCTTTGTGATACACCAACAGATCCCCATTTTTGGTTGGTTAAGTTATATCATGTTATATCCCAATGGTTGGTTAAGTATGGTTAAATTATATCCCATATTTAAAATTTAGATATATTTAGTATCCAAGCAGTTATATCATGTTATATCCCATAGACTATTTCCATCCGTTGTTCCGTTGTTTTGGTTATAACCCTGTAACATATCCCCAAAGTGAATGTACAAACCAGATCAACCATTGACCCAACGTGGGGGGATTGAACATCTGGCGTCATCCAAAAACTAAATCACAGTTTTCAGTTTAGCGATAAACAGAGTATGAATAAATTTCCTCACATTTTTATGTGTTATAAACATCCTAAGATTTATCCATCCATTTCATTACAGTTTAGGAATTTCTGTTTCGAATGTGAAGCCAGTCGTAGCTGGGGTTCCATGTTGGGCCCATGGGGTCCCATGGGGTCCTCCAACCCGATAGATTTGTCTCCAGATGTACATCCCAGGCAGTATGAAGTGGGTTCAGCCATATCCCATATGATCCATCTGGGTAAATTATAAAACGACCTCACGTCGCGACCGAGCCCTGGAAATCATGGTGAATGTAGAGGGAAATCATCCCCAAATGGCCGAACTATTCAGGTTAGTGAAATATTATAATTTACCCAGATCCATGGTATATTTGTATATTTACCTACATGACTGGGTGATTTATGTTGGGCAAATGTTGGTAAATATATATATATATATACCAGCACCATGGTTCGCATTTGGGTATGTAAACCCTTTATAACTTATGAATGAATCCGGAGGGTAGATATGATATGCCCATAGTAATTTAAACTTCAGAACAGATATAAACCTGGTTGGTGGTGACTGGAACCATGGAATTTTTATGACTTTCCATATATTGGGAATGTCATAATCCCAACTGACGAACTCATATTTTTTCAGAGGGGTAGGTATACCACCAACCAGAACCCCTTTATAACCTAAACATGACTCGTGTATTTTATATGGTTATTATCCAATTGTTTTAATGTTATACATTCATTCTTTATTAAGTAATGTTAAGTCCCCGTTGTTATTGGTTCTTGGTGCTGAAGTCCCATAGAATCCCAATTTCATGATACCTAATACATTGTATCACATTTCATGTCACTATCCTCGCTGTTGGTTATATCCAAAAATGACTATATATCCCTTTGGCTAACCACTCATCACCCATTGGTCAATGATGATTGTTGGTAGTTAAGTTACTGTTGGTCCACTACTTGGGGCTTCAGTTCTGGTTCTGAATGGTTAAATACACACAAGTTTCTTGGGGCTTCTATCGGGGTTCACCATCGCAACTTATGGAGGTGAACTCACCATGATTATATCCATGAAAGTAATCCCTGGCCTGCGACATCCCATTGATTATGCCAAAAAATCACCAGTACAATAATGATCAACACTAACCACATAACAATGAATGGGATTATTGTATATATATATATGTTTATGATCAACTATTATCATATATATATATATACTATCCCAAATCCCATTTATTATCCCAATAAGCCATTCGTTCATCGACAATATAAGTCAGGAATCTTTATTATTCATATCAATATATGTTGGAACACTTGGAACTAAACTATCATGACAAAATCAAAAAAATCATTGACCAAAAAAGTCATTGACCAACGATCCCTGCCTCAAGGGTCGCCCGCGCAGGTCTTGATTCGCCTCTGTGGCACCACGGTAGGGTCCAAGGCCTTACTCTCGTATCAGCTGTCGCCCAGGCGCCGTGGAAACAGCCGAGGGGGGCCACCGGGAAGCCTAGGGAAGGGGAAAACCCAGGGGAAAACCCTGGGAAAGTCGGTTGGAAATCCTATTTTTTAGACCATAGCGCAGACTTTTCCCATTGCCCATCTGGATGTGCATGAGTTTTTTTTGGGTTTGAACTACATCAACTGTGAATGTCCGTTTTGTGGTGGTCTACAATGTTGTGCCCCTCAGTGAAATGTGTAAATTGATTTAGTTGGTTTAGTTTCACCCCAACTTCGACATCCAGTATAAACCCAACAGCTATTTCTACAATGTGAGGCCCCCCAGTGATGTTTGTTGGTTTAGATTGGCCCCAGTAACTATAGTCTCTTGAACCAGGATCAGTGTAGATCCTCATCCAGCCGTAACTATAGTTATAAATGCCATAAACCATAGTGACATTGGAGTTATCTGCACCAACTCTTCCCTATCGTGGCCGGGGGCTAAGCCCATTGAGAAAAAACCCAACGCGACATCCCCTGGAAAATCACCTGCTGTGCATCCCCTGAGTGCAGCCGGTGCAGCCAGGTTTGCAGTCACCGAGGTGCATCGCCGTTCCTCGGGGTTTAACGGATGGTTTTGGAGGGACCTCCAAATGGAGATGTTAAATTGCCATGGTGTTGATGACACCGGGTAGTACTTTTCATGTTTCAAAGTTTTTTTTGATTAATGGGGATACTGTTTTTTTAATTACATTCTTAACATTTCAGAAACAGATCTCTGAAGAATGCAGGGTATCTAAGGTTGGCCATGGTTGACCCATCAGCGCCTAGGGCTCTTCACCAACCCCAGGCATCTCGGGCGAATGATCGTATCGCCATAGCAAGAGGATCGGCGAAAAAATGCTGGAAATTGCTTAATCAACGTAAGCATTGGATCATTGGCAAGTTCGGTTTGCCTCCCTTTAAGAGACCCTTGGCTTCTGCCGCTGACACATTGCGATTTCGGGGCCAGAACCTTGGTGGAACAGCTGGGAAATGGATCTTCATTCCAACAGAGGTATTATCCCATCATCTTGATGTGGCTTCATCCAGGTGCCCTAAGCCTATTTGTACATGTACTGCTGTTGTAAAGCCCATTCAATCTAATCTAATGGTTAAAACTTGTCAAAACTATCCTTTTCCCTTGAATCATATGGATGTTTGGGGTAAAGCCACCATTTTTGTTATTTCTCGAACTCACACCTATCCCATCGCCCCAGACCTCGTCTTTGAAACACATCTCCGCAGGGTCCAGAGACGGGAGTGCGTGCCGTCCAGTTGTGGTTACCTCAGGAGCTTTTGGTGCAGCCTTGACCGGCAAATGTCTAAAAGGTGGAGGAATTTAATTTTAGGACCAGGATCAAATTAGCACGTGTGAAAGACTGGATTTCCACTTTTTATGGGCGATTTAGTTCACTAGTATGGAGAACATCTTATACCGAGTTAAGATATTTTTAATGGTATTTTTTAAAATGGAGATACCATGACGAGTCTCTGCGGTTATCAAGCACCAATCTCTGCGGTGGTGCCCTCCAGTTCTTGGTTTAGTTGCACCTATCTATATGGGGCTCTCTTAAAATGGGGGTACCCAAAAATGGATGGTTTATAATACAAAATCCTCGTAAGATTGTATTTTTTGGGTACCCCCTCATTTTTGGAAACCTCCATATATTAGTTAGAACTACCTTCTGCAGCCCATTCAATCTAGTGATGTGCAGCAAATCAGCTATCAACTGAGGGCTCCACATTTTGAGACTTGGGGGACCTGGTCCAAGTATCAATGAGGTTGTTGCGCTTGGGGAAGCAAGCCAATTTCCAAGGGTTTGGGAGACCCAGAAGTCACAGTCACTTCTGGATGGAGGGTCTGGAGGATCAGGAATCCTAAATGGGTTTAATACCTCGAGTTCCATGTATTGTACAAATAGCTCATGCTGGGCTAGTTACTTGGAGGATCATCCCATTTACCCTCTGGTAAACTAACATAACTATGGAAAAACACAATTTTTTATGGGTAAATCAACTATGTCTATGGCCATTTTCAATAGCAAACTGTTAGTCATTACCAGAGGGTAGATATTTAGTGGTGAAGAACCATAGTTGCAACCCATGGATGGCTTACCCCACTCAGGGGACGAATCCACCCGGGTATGTCCAGCACGTCCCAGCACGTCCAGCTAAACTGCTTTGGGACATTTGAAAATGTTGGTTTAATGGTTGGTGCTTTGGAACATGAATGTTATGACTTTCCATTCAGTTGGGAATTTCATAGTTCCAACTGACTTTAAGTCATATTTTTCAGATGGTAGGTCAACCACCAACGAGGTTTAATGGTTTTAAGTAGCAACAAATTGTGACTTACTGGTGATATCATAGGATTAAGTAGTCAAACATGTCTAGCTGGGAATGTCCCCGAACGAAATGGAGTTTTCAAACTGGGATTTTGTTGAACTCAATGGGGAACTGTCCATTGCCATCTTTGGCGGAGCGTAACACCAGGGAACCAGCAGGAATTGGATTGGCTGAGTCGATGATTTCTTATTTTCCCATTGGTTGACCAGAACAGGGGAATCGGGAAGATTTCTATTTTTATAACAGCCCCCGGCCCAAAATTTTGTAAATCCAAGAATATGATCTGGCTTTGTCTGAACATATACAATGTTTTACCCAGAATCATGAGGCCTGTTGTTTGAATCTACCCTCTGGTAATTTAACAGTTTGCTATTGAAAATGGCCATAGACATAGTTGATTTACTCATTAATCGCATGATGATTTTCCAGTTCGCTATGTAAACGTTTACCAGAGGGGAACTCCCATAAAACATCCCATTCTATTCCCATTAAACTCAACAATTTATATTACAATTCCATGAAAAATCCCAAAAAAAAATCCATGAAAAATCCCAATTTTCGACACTGTGCCCCATGGGCCCCAGGCTCTTTCAGATGTTGGCGGAATTTCTGCTTCTCCTGCTTGAAGATGGGCCTTTTTGTCCGCGAGATGGGCGCTTTTGCGGCTTCCCAATACGATGAATGGACCATATTTTCGGTTGCAAAATCTATGGGTCGAAATCATCAATTTCCATATGGGAAAAGTAGGAACTTTTATGGACTTTTTGATTTTTGGAAAAGTTCCCTATTGTCCGACAAATATGAAGTATACATGCAACCATGTGTAGAATGATGTACCAGTACCAGTATACAACATGTAAGAACGCAGTACAGTTTGTTAGAAAGCCTCACCGCAGGGAGCAAACTCTCTGTATACATATATATATGATAATGATTATAATATATGTAATATAATACATTATATATATATGTATACATGTATATGCATGTACAAACATCATATATGTAACAATAATTTCCCATTGCATTTTCAAAACAAAATCTGGTATCCATACATTATTCTAAGTTCCATATATATTTTCCAATTATTTCCATGATGTATATATACATCCTTATATATATCCATATATATATATATCCATATATATATCCATATATATATATATATCCATATATATATATATCCATATATATATATATATATCCATATATATATATATCCATATATATATATATATATGTATCCATATATATATATCCATATATATATATATATATCCATATATATATCCATATATATATATATATCCATATATATATATATCCATATATATATATCCATATATATATATATCCATATATATATATCCATATATATATATATCCATATATACATATTCAACAAAATAAATAAATATATATATATATCCATATATATTCATATATATATATATCCATATATATATATATATCCATATATATATATTGTCCTACAAAAGTTTCCACATCATTTTCCATACCACACACGCATCTATCTCGAGTCCTTGTTTTCGAAATCACCCAGGCCCGCCTTGCAGCAACGGATGGAGAACGAGATCCTCCAGTCTTTTGGTGCACGCCGCGAAATGCCGGCGAGGCGCACGAGATTCCCGCGGTTTCAGTGGCGCTTTCATGGCTGATGAGAAATTGCTACTGCTAGTGGTGATTTTTGAATGGTGATTTAGTGATGATTTAGTGGTGATTTAGTGGTGATTTGAAGTTTAATGGCTGATTTAGTGGCGGTTCAATGGTGATTTCGTGGTGATTTTTGGTGGCTTCAGCAGAGGGGGGAACCCAGTTCAACAGAAATGGTGATCTCAAGGGGCCAATTTTTTTTTCGGCGAGGGACAGGGAGGTGGTCGATGATTACAGGGTAATTCCCACATGACAAGTTCAATAGCACTACCCAAAACCCAACAAGAAAATGGGTTCCCAAATCATCCCCAATTTTTACATAGTAATTCCCACATCATCCCTAATTCATAGATACGAAAATTAGGGATGATTTCTTTTTTTACTGGGTAATTCCCATGGTTTGCAAGGAGTAATCGCACTAAGCCGCGGTGATGACATATGTAAAGCCCATGCGACTGTCAGCCACCAAAGGTTTGGGTCTTCAGATGTGAATGATGCAAGTATCATTCCCTACCCTGCAGCACTTCAACAAACTGTGATTTTCTATTTTCATATTGGTATTAGATGATATTAGTCTCTATAGATCTGGGTATGGGTCAATACCTATAGATACATTTTTAGTGGGATGAACATCCATTTACCAGCTATTTTGGGGTTCACTAGGTACCAGGGTTTTGACCCATCCCCATCTAAATTAGATGGGCATTACCTTCTATTGATTTCACATCTGATATTGTCAAGCACTTGCCAGGACACCAGAAGCGACGGATTTGTCCAAAGATCGAGGATAGAACAATAAACCTACCATGTGGTACCCCTACGCACAGAAAAAAAACATGAGTTGATCTGAACATTTAAGGGACAAGATCCAAATCCCATGGTTTATCATTATTTTCGCGATGAAAATAACAAGATATAACAACCCATTTTCAGACACTCCCAAATAATTTTGGGTCTCCGGTTTTCATTGTTTTGGTCAAAGATAAGGTTCGCTCTATACAAGTCTCTAAGTCTAATGTCAACACAAGAACTTACCCAAAAGTCGCATGCCCATTTGAACCCCTTTGGCTTAGTTTGTTTATAACATGTTACAAGTAGGATTACTATGGCTATGGTTTATGCCAGTTGCATCCATATAGTTACATACGGGATTGGATGGGTTATTATGAACCAAGTTCTAACTCCCATACTGGTATAGATCATTGCGCGGGCATCGTTGTGACGCTTCACGACTCCGCGTTGCGGAGTCGTTTTCGCCAGGGATTTGTGCCGCATGAACTACCACTTGTTGAGCCACTTGGCATATGGTGCAACCTTGGTGAGTTCACCTCCGCAAGGTTGGAATATCATCCGTACAATTTTGGGATATCATGGGTATATAACTCTAAGCACTTATAACAGGTTGGTGGTTTGGAACCATGGCATTTTATGGCTTTCCATTCAGGTGGGAATGGACAATCATCCCAACTGACTCATATTTTTCAGAGGGGTAGGTATACCACCAACCAGATAATGATTAACCATCATTAACCATCATCATCAACCATTATTCAGAGACGTAAGAGACGTAAGTTGGAACTAACATAGCTATTGAACATGGCCCATTTATAGTTGATTTACCCATTAAAAATGGTGATTTTCCATAGTTATGTTAGTTTACCAGCGGGTAATTAAAAATAGGAATAGAAATTCATATAATTCCAATAGGAGCTTTTTCATGGGCTTCATTTTTGAAGAACTTCGACATGTTTCAACGGGAAAGTTGAGGAGGGATACTGTATTATGACTGGTCAAACGCATTTCCTGAGCAAACCACTTGATGGACAACTTGGGTTTTGTTTTCTCCTATATTTGATGTTAAAAATACGTACATGAAACCACATGGGCTTCCGGTACAGATTTTCCCCAAATCATTCCATTGAGTCAAGTGGTCAAAGTCTGGAGTGGTCTATGGATTCTCTTGGTCTTAAACTTGGTTCTTGTTGTTGCCCCAAAACAGAAATTTCCTCAAAAATTCAGCTGCCGCAAGTCCATGTCGGTCATAACTTCGGAGAGTCAATTTCTTGGGTTTGACACCTGAAAAATGAGGATTGACCCGGCCTGGTAAACATACAAAAAACTATGGAACATCACCCTTTTTAATGGGTGAATCCACTATTTCTATGGCCATTTTCAATAGCAAACTGTTGGTTTACCAGAGGGTAACAGGAAACAATGATAAACAATTGGATTTTGGGTCTCCTAAACGTTCAGACCAGGGCCACTTCCACATACACACACGCTTCTATCACGATCGTTGCTGTAGAAAGGGCATTTTCTGTTGTTTCAATTGTGTTAAAATCCGTGTGTTTCAAGGTTTCAATACCTCTCTGTTTGTGGTTGAATCTACTGGCATGATTCAGGAAACTATTGATTCGTAGATGGGATATATGATCATATGTGTCCCGATTTCAAGTGGTCCCAAATCCCACTTGATTTGGTAAATGCAGTTTGATAGTCCCAACATCTTTTGAAGTCTAAGTACCGAACATGACCATGCAGATTTTGGCGTTATTCACCATTGGGCTTATTAATTATAGTATAACTAGCAAGCCCCAAAAAGATAAAAAACAAATCCAATTCAATGGTTAATCTATGGTTAATCTATGGTTAAGAATGGTTAATAATGGTTAATCATTGGAATAACAATATATCTGGTTGGTGGTTTGGAACATGACTTTTATTTTCACCATTTTCGTTGGGATGATGATCCAATCTGACGAACTCATATTTTTCAGGGGGTAGGTCAACCACCAACCAGGGAATGTAAACCACCAGCAGCTGAGGTCGGAACCCACATCTCTTCGAGGAAGCCTTGAGGACTGTCACACAGAAGGCGCCCTGAACAACGACACGCGACCGGAGAGGATCAATGCCGAGCTATGTGCCATGGGATTAGCCAGTGGGTTAGCAAGTGGGTTATAAGTTATAAGTTATAACTCACTACATTCCGAGTTATGATTTGGTTGGTGGTTTGGAAGATTTGGATTATTTTTCTTATCATATTGGGAATGGAAAATCATCCCAACTGACGAACTCATATTTTTCAGAGGGGTAGGTATACCACCAACCAGTAATCCATTTGCATCCATTGCTTGTGGTGAACTTACTCCGTGGCCTATCTCAGGCTTTCACCAGCAAAACCGGAGATTTTTAGATTCAGAACTGGGGAACGGGTTTCCATGGGTCAATGGGTTTCCAAGAAACGGGGAGATGAATTCTTCACCGTGGGAAGGTGTACAACAGGGGAGATTCATGGCACAAATGCATCGAACAAAGAAAAGAAGATTCTGAACGGAACAAAACTGGAGATCTTAAGCGATGATCAATATGATTTCAATATGTGGATTCGAATTGTGAATGAGTTGCGCTGCAGCACTGATTAGGTTTTTGTTTTAACGAAATGACTCAGGGGAGATATCGCCGGTCCTTGGATGAGTCGATGAATCTGTAGGTCTTTCCAGTGCTGGTAATCTGCTTGTGTCTCAAACTAGGGGATGCCCAAACATGATAACAGTACAGGCAAACCTGGTAATTCTCATTACTGGTAATTAACAAGTTTCTGCAGTTTGCCTGTGTTTCATTATATGAAACTTACAGTACAAAACTGGTGATACCCCATGGGGCTTTTGGGGCTTGAGAATTGTCTAATGGAATCGTCTCTCCCGTTTTGACAGTTGGGGTTTTGCATTTTTTCTTCAATTTATCGTATAGTCTACCTTTGTTTAACTTAGTTTAACTTCCTTAGTTTATTCAGTCTTGATGGGTTGACATTTGATTTTGTTTAGTAACTAGACATATCATTAAAACTTGATATCGCTGGACTTGAGTAGGTTTGGATCTGAGACACCATACTCTTACTTGGTGATTCACCCCGATTAGAACTGGACCTTACCCTACTTACCCTACCTATATAACTGGGCTTATGGCCCACTAGCTAACTGTTTAACTGGGATGAAGCACCGAGTAGTGGATAAAAAGTCAAAAGGATGATATACTGTATACTGTTGATATAATGTTGATATACTGTTTATGAATGACGTCCTGTTCGAAAGAGCTGAAATTCAGACCAGTACTCGTACTCCGAGTCGACCAGTATGTCTTTGTTGCTTCAATTCACATTTCATCCCACAAGGTGTTCCATAGTACGTAACGTGCGTTCGGTTTCTTGGTATTTAACCCCGCATCTCCACGCACATATTATATCAAGTTGGCTATACATAAAAAGAAAACATATATATATATATGATATATACATATGATATATATATATATATATCCCAGTATATCCCTCAACATAGGTATATCGCTTATCATATCCCGTAAAATGGTTGGTTAAACATCCACCCATTTCAAGACTCCTTGGTGGCCAGTCTCGCGACGACATTGGCCTGACGTTTGGGCGCCCAAATCTGCTGATGTCTGGTGGATTTCCGATGGAGCCGATCCACTTAAAACGAAATGCTACGGATTTCAGGGAAAGGAGTGCCGACAAAATGGGGAGTGTACTACCCTCTGGTAAATAAACATAGACCCTGAAAATAGCTAATGTTTAATGGAAACTAGTCTTCCAACCCCTATCTGCCAGGGTCTATGTTAATTTACCAGAGGGTAAACGACGAGACATGAGGACTTCATCACATTCTTTCAAGTTTTATATCGTATTTCATCACGTGTCATCGTAGTTCATGAAAATGTTTTGTTTCAGTAAACTGCACATTTCACGAACATAGGTGTACTGAGAGCCTACCAGTTTTTCAAAAGCACTACCCGGTAGCTGACTGGGTTGCCACAAGTAGAACTGGCATATGGACCTTTTCTACTGGTCCCTGTATATGCATACTGTCTGTATGTGCATATGTATATATATATGTATATATATATGTATATATATATATGTATATATATATGCATATATATATATATCATATATATATAACAATGACACAGCAACCTGCACAACAGTAAAAACGTATCTTACCACAAGTTTGGTACGATTCTGTTTCTTCAATCTTTTCTGGGGTGACTATTAGTGAGTAAACACATGTATATTATTAATAGTTAGTTTTATATATTACAGATTATACACATTCATGCCCAGTTATGTTGTAGCAAAACTGACCAAGTGTGTTGGCCACTGTGGCCAGTGACTTGATTTTGCCTTGTGCTCATCGGCATGGACATGGGTATTGGCTCAGAATAGTTTCACACACAGATTTGATGGTTTTGCTCATCCACTGTTGCAAATAGATTGTTTTGAACTAGCTAATCCAAGTTGGGTTATCCATTAGTTTTACATGCTAAGACAGCTAACAACTATATATATACTATATATATATACTATATATATATACTATATATATATATATACTATATATATATATACCAGCTATACATGCGGATTCCTACGACTTCAACCGTTGTACATCTCTATCGCTATCTTGCAATGTCCGTCATCGATCGACGGACTGGATCCCATGCACGAAATTGAGCGACGTTACACGGACAAGGCCAGGAAGGACCTGTCACTCCCTGGTCTAAGTTGCCTGACCTGAACGGGGTCACATGTGGCCGGAGCAGGTGGTCATGTGAGCGTTACATGTTGTGCCTCCGCCGGGTACAGAGAATGGTGGAATCATGTGGGCTGGATGGCAGCTATGAGCGACTTCATCTGATGGACCCTTCGTACTTTGTATGCAGCATTTATTAATTGTACTGTGCCTGGCTTGCGGTCAGCTCAGGCTGCTTGATGATGCGTCAGGTGTGTTGGAGCTCCATGAATGGGTACGACAAGCGAACGTGTGGAGATCTTTCATGTGCCAGCCATCAACATGGATGAGGTTTCCCAAAAGGAGGTGCTTGGAGGTCAATATGAAAGCTTAAGCACATAAAATGATATAAAATGGTGGGATGTAGTGAGGATATAATGGGGGATACCATCACCAATGTGAATTGTGTACTGCTTTGTGCTTTCAAATACCCTTCAGCAATGGAAAATCCTCATTTATAGAGTAGTTTCCCATTAAAACCCCAGTTACGTAAGGCATTTCAATTGCCATGTTTGATGACACCAGAGGGTTTTGTCATCAATTCCGGTCCCTCAACGATGTGTCCATGGACTAATAACAACAGTGAATATTATCGATAGAAGTTAATAATAACCATGCTAACCACAAGAATGCAAATAGATAAGTGAAGAATGCATAAGTAAATAGATAAGTAAGAATGCAAACAGATTCAAATAGATAAGTAAGAATGCATAAGTATACATAAGTGAATATATATATATATAGTCACATGCCAAAACCATTGTCAGTTTAGTTCAGTTGAATTTCTAGTTACTGTCGATAAGTCAGCCAGTCAGATTCCAGTGACAGCCTCACCCCAGGATTGAACCCATTCCGGAAGCTGAACGACCTATGCGTGCGCCCGGGAAGAGTTGTGGTGCCTCACCTTGCACGATGTTCCTGGTATATTAATGCCAGTTTTGATACGTAAAGGCATTGCCTGTGATTTTTCGACAAATTTTGTGAACCAGTTTTCTTTGAAGCACTTTATTCAAGAGGTTGCACCACATGACTGTCTGACACATGTTTGTGTTTTTTTTGCACATTCAAGAAATAAATGAAGTCAATGAAGAGGGCAAGTTTACCCTATCTAACTTGATGTTGTTGCTATGACCCAAATGAAATAGTTTTACTGGTTGGTGGTTTGGAACATTTTTTATTTTCCATTTCATATATGTGATAATTAATCCTTCCCATTGACTAATATTTTTCAAGATGGTTAAAATCACCAACCAGTTTAGCAATGTGCACCAACATTTTGGAATGAAATGGCACTGTGTGCCCCGACGGAGGGCAGACGAAGGGCAAAGGATGTTGGGAAAGCCGCGATTTCTGTGACCTCCACACTTCGTCATGGGGTAAGTTCATCGATGTTGTGCAACAAAGCACCTTTTTTTTGAAGAAAATCCTAAATCTTTCTGTATGAATATGACCCTCGCAGTTATCAATTGGTTCATAAAGCCATTCAACAGCAGGTATATCCGCCATAAATCCAACAGTGATGGTAGTTGTATATAATATAAAACCAACCTATTTTATCCTATCTTCTCGAATTGCAGGGACATCTCTCTCAGGCTCATTCAACTGCAGTTATATTCCCCATAAATTTAACAGTCATTGGTTGGATTATAGTTACACCAACTTATCTATCTTGGGTTCCCGACATCAAACTATAAGATTTGGAGTTAGCGTGCAATATGTTGGGAATATGTTGCATATCGCCTATGCATTACATGTACATAATAGTTAATGCATTTTGTCACGAGGCTCTCAAGTTGTAAGTTAATGTATAAACCCAATCTATATCCTCAATAAACCCTTTTAAACCAAGCTATGAGTCAACTTAACCGACTTAACCTATCATAAATCAGCTATGAGTTCCATTAAATCATATTAAATCCCTATTCTTCATTGGTTAAATCATCATTTTCCCCATGGGTTTCCCATCCTATGGGCTCCTCACCCCAGTTACCTTTCGGTTTCCATCGCAGCTATCGCAGCCAGGTCAACGCATGCGTTTCGGGGCGTTACCTCCTGCTTTGCCCATCTTGCAGTGACGCGGCATTTTTCTGGCTTGACATGGCTTGACATGGCTTGACCTGGCGTGATGAGGTTTCCATAAATCCAGAGGGCAATGGGATATCCATGGGATATTGATAAGATATTATTAATGGTATAAATGGAATATTAATGATATATCAATGGCATATTAATGGGATAGTATGAAGCTTTCCATAGTCATGGGGGTACCCAGAAATGGATGTTGTTTATTTCGTGGAAATCCTATATTTAAATTGGATGATGATTTTGGGGGTACCCCCATTTCAGGAATCCTCCAAGAAGAACTGTTGGGATGGGGGAAAATTGGGGGTCTACGGGTCTACAAAGTGGGCCCCACAAACGATAGCGATAGCTAAGTTGGTGCATAACTCCAATTAATATGGTTAAATATACGCAAATAATCGCAAATAACTTCCGGGGCCTCGCAGCCTTGACAGATGAGGAGATGGCTGTGCTCGCAATCCTAAAGGACCCCACTGGGCCAACTGGATTTGGGCGCATCCGACGCGTTTCAGGGTCCCTCAACCAGGAAGCCTTGCAGGTGCTCCTCGCCATCTACCAGGACGCCAATGGAATCCCTAAGGCGTTATCTGAATACGCCCTGGGGATTCTCCATATGGCTGGTCTAGGCTCAGTGCTAGTGACCTTGAAGTTCCTGGTGAAGGGGGCTCCACACCTGCTGGAACATCCGGTCTTTCTCAGCGAAAGGCCCTATCTCGCTGCCGCGCTGGAGTCCGCCGGACTCGTGACAGGAGACTACATGTCAGGGTATTGCGTCTTTTCGAAGATGGCTGGTGAACGAGCCATTCGGCCGACATTGTTCCCGCGCAGCTTCCAGACAGCCCTGCTCCTGGCGAGAACTGAAGGAGGCTCTTGGACCAATTACTCCACCCGAGTAGCGCTTCCTCCATCAGTGCAAGGACTCATCACTGCACTAGTGGCAGAGGTGGCTCCGCGAGTTGAGAGCACCGTGACCATTGAAGAGGTTCCTGCCGATGAAGAACCCTAGTGAGGGACTGGAGTGAACCAACCTTCTCAGACGAGAAGTCATGCCCAGCGGAGCCAAGCAACTGCGGCAGTTTTCCTTGCCACCGGATGAGCCGGAATTTCCTCCACAGCCCCCACCGCAAAGCTCAATACTTAATGGGGCTTACACACCAACTTATAACTGGTGGGCCCCACATAACTGGATATAACCATGGGATAGATGTGGAAGCCCTAGAAAAATGAAGATAGCTGTGGACATGAAGTTAAGCATGGAAACCGTTTGGGTAATTTAAGTATCCCCCTTGCCATTTCCTCCACAGATCGAGGGGGGTTGGGGTGCCTATATGGCATAATTTTATGGGAAGTGTTGGCCTTATATGGGGTCGAGCATGCCATTTTGTAGTAATTTGTGGGTTTTACATGGTTTTATAATTTTTATTTTGAAGGCATGATCATTTACGGACACCAAGACAAACCATTTTGTAACATACAAAAAGCCATTTTGTAGATGTTTTTAAGGGTATGATTTGGTGCTTTTAAAAAATGTGAGTAAGAAAAATCAGCTAGCCATTCTGTAGAGAAACCATCGTTTCAATAAATGTACCATTTTGTAAGTGCATATTTGTGTTTGCAATGGTTGGCTCGGAAACACTTTAGGACATTTCAATTTCCCCGCCGTCCCAGTAACCCACCATGTTGGCCCTCGCATGCTTGGTGCTGATCGCACAACACACCACAACATCCACACGACGACAACCTGATGGAACATATGACAAGAAACCCCTAGACCCCAAATACTTTCAAAATCCCCCTTGCCATTTCATGGGTGAGGTTGGGGGGGGAGCATTTTGTAGTGAACCACCCCTTTTCTCTGCAAAATGGCTCCAGTACACAGTCTCCATCCTACAAAATGGTCTGTCTATAACCCATGGAGCATGTTTTTTTCTAGAAAATGGTTAGGCCTGCTGCTGCTGCCTAGAGTCGACCATTTTGTAGACTAGTGTAGGTCTGAAGATAGACCCTGTTTTTATGATTGTGTTGAAAAGAGCAGTGGCAAAGAATTGTGATTGAATTTGTTCCTTCTGGATCCTTCTGGATCTTCTCGGATTCTTCAGCCTTATCCAAACTTCGATACCGATTGTTCCCTGGAAGATCTGTGTCAAAATAGCATTCTTCTCCTGATCTTCGTTTTTGCTTTGGGACCGTTTTTGTGACTGGAACATACTGGAACCGGAAAAAGTTTCCATCTTCAGAAGGATTGCCAGCACATTGTTGGCAAAAAAATAGAAACATATTCATGCTGCAAAAGTTGCATGAAAAAAATGAATCCACCTCCGAAAAGGAGGAGTGAAGACGACTAGAGGGTAAAAACCCTACAAAATGGCACTGGGAAAAAGGCAGTTGACGCTGAGGTCTTGACAAGATGGAGGCTCTACAAAATGGCTCTGGGATTTTTATATGTTTTATAAAATCATGAATGCACTGGTTTGATCATTTTTTGGCTAAATTGTCAAAATATTTGTGGATCAAAACAGGTGACAGACACTACCATTTTGTAGAGCCATGGGTTATAGACAGACCATTTTGTAGGATGGAGACTGTGTACCAGAACCATTTTGTAGAGACAGGGGTTGGTTCACTACAAAATGCTCCCCCCCCAACCTCACCCAGGGAATGGGAAGGAGGAAGGAGGATATTTAAGTAATATTTTTTCAAATACCCTCTGGTAAACGTTTACATAACTATGGAAAATCACCATTTTTCATGGGTAAATTATATAACTATACATAGCCATGTTCAATAGCTATGTTGGTTTACCAGGCCGGGTAGATGTGGAACACCGCCATGGTTTACCGCCGTTGGGAACGTGATCGATCTACCTTTGGATGGGTCTTCCACATCTGCAGGGGGGTACCTTGTTATCCCGCGGTGTTAGCACATGCAATAGGCCTATGGTGATCATATGGAATACTGTGGGTAAAACAATGTCATGTTTACCATCCATGACTGGGAATGGTTTCTACATACCACCTAGTTATGGTGAAATTGGGGATGGTTTATTATTGTTTTACCACCATTACTGTACATGGAATGCCGATTTTCTTGGAGTTTCTTTTGCAATGACAACGTTCTACCTCTTCCATGACAGTGTGGACACAGTTTGTGTGCCTGCACCTGGATCAGCTATGTTGAGGCAGTTATGTGGCCATTGGACGCCTGTAGCACCTAGTGGTTGTGTGCAAGTTACCAAAGGTTTCAAGAAACCAGAGGTTTTTTGAATCCATGAAACAAGGAGCCAGTAAGTGACTGACAATCGCTGATAGCTGGTTCTGAATCCAGGAGTTGAAGATGAAAACTTAGGAAGCGATCTACAAACACACACACAAATATATATATATAATGTATCCCTTGTCAAACTGGGCATGTTCCACATTGGTTGCATTCCTGCGATGCACCTCCAAGTTGGGTCAATTTGGTCATATTGTCATCTTCATGATCATGGTGAAAGATGGGATTTTTACCTCGTATTGGAGATCTCTAACAGACAAAAAATCATGTCACTAATATATAATATTATCACATCAAATAATCATACAGAATCAACGATATCTTAGATTGTGTCCTAATAATCATGTATAATCATGTATTATCTCACAAATAATCTAAGATTTATAAGATCTGGTTGGTGGTTTGGAACATGACTTTTATTTTCCAATATATTGGGAAGAATAATCCCAACTGACGAACTCATATTTTTCAGAGGGTAGGTAAACCACCAACCAGAGATTATCTAAGATGTCTTGCTGGTGTCCCTCTTTAATCCCATCTGGAAACCTAGAACCCCAGAAATCGACGGATGCAATAGGCTCCACCCCTAGGACGCTGGTCAATGAACTTTGCTTCGGTGTCGACGTGGGTTGCAGGCTCTGAAGAGGGCTCGGGAGAAGGCGTTTTGATGTGGCCTGACATCTATGAGTTCAATATGTTTCAAGATAAGATCAAAATCATGAAACATGGAATGTAGGAGATTCATGCATGTAGTCAGATACACATATATTAATGTATAGGTACAAAAACATATATATATAGACATACATACATACATACATACATACATACATACATACATACATACATACATATACATACATACATACACACACATACATACACACACATACATACACACACATGCATACATACATACATACATACATACATACATACATACATACATACATACATACATACATACATACATACATACATACATACATACATACACACATACATACATACATAGATACATAGATAGATACATAGATACATACATACATACATACATACATACATACATACATACATACATACATACATACATACATACATTCATACATACATACATACATACATATATATACACACATGTGTGCACCTACCTATCTTTGTTGGCAACTTCCCCTCTTTATTGGTTCCTTTAGTTTGTTGTTCTGGCAGTTTTCCTTTTTTGCTGATTAATTCATGTTAAATACAGTACCCAATGTTTATTTGGATGAGAAATGGTAACAAAAACCTGCAAACCTGCGAAGTGGTGTCCCATAGTTGTAGCTATGCTATGTTGATTTATAACTGCAAGAAGTGTTTGGTTTGTGGTAGATATTGAACTATTTGTTTATGGGGGTTAGTTATAATTCAACAAATATAGGGGGGCACCTTGTAATTGCAGTTGGTTTGTTACCCATCTACCCTCTGGTAAACTAACATAGCTATTGAAAATGGCCATTTATAGTGAGTTTTCCCATTAAAAATTGTGATTTTCCTTGGTTTTTTGTATGTTTGCCAGAGGGTAAGTACAGTCAATTCATCACCATAAACCCAACAATTAACCCATGAAACCAGAAATCCCACAGGTTCACTTTGCCCATACACGATGAAATTCCATGTCTGTTGGTAACGTGTCATTTATTTTTTTGTTAAATTCACGGCTCAATTCCCAAACCCTCTGGTGATTTAATATAACTGTTGAAAATGGCCTATTTCTAGTTGATTTACCTATTTGAAATGGTGATTTTCCATAGTTTTTTTGTATGTTTAACATCAACCATATGGTGAAACAGTGGGATACAATGGGATATTCTCTAGTTTGGGGTCCCAGAGTCCCAGAAAGCCATCGACTGCACCTTGGTTCCCCATCGATCGTCGCGTCGCAGGACCTCCTTCCAGAAGCTCTACGAGGCCGCCACTAAGGAGGACAAAGCCAGCGAGGTGGGCGGCGGCGGCGAGTTGGGGACTCTACTGGGAATTTCTTGGGGCACATGAATGGCAAAACAATTGTATATAATTGTATATATATATATTATATAATTTGTTATAATATGTATAGTAACATATATATATATAATATAGTGTATATATATATATTAATATATATATATATATATACACACGTGTTTTTTGTTTTTATAGGTGACAGAGTTGGAAATTGGACATAAGAGGTGGGTATGGGTCAAGTTCATATTGGTGAACGCCAAAAATTATAATTTAGTGCAGTGTTTGTTTTGTTAGCATCAATGTCCGGGGTTATTTTATTTGCGTTTTAGCCATGAACATACAACTAACAACACATGTGGCCATAAATTGATAGATACAATAGGCACATAAACAGATCAATAGATAGATCATAGATAGATATGTTATATATAGATAATTAGATACATGGATGGACGGATGGATAGATGGATGGATAGAAACCCGTGACATCTGATGCTTGCTGCAACTCTTCCATCGGCCAGGAGCCCGTCGCGCCGCCCGAGGGGCTACCTCCGCCCTATCCGTTGGCCTTAGGTGTGCGGCTGAGTCGGAGGATTTCATCAAAAATAGGGTTTTTGTTGCCATCAAACATAGGAATGAGATGAATCCAGTTATGGGTTATTTGTTATTAACTAACCCCCATAAACAAATATTGAACTATGTTAATATCAAAATATGTTTTCATTAATAATCATCAAAAATAGTTCATGGGTCACTGAACCAAAGTTGGCCATATTCTTTGAGGATTCAACCAGTGAAAATTCTGGGGATTAGGGTTGTGGGGCCCAGGGATGGCGGAAAAATGGTTGCTGTTCCCAAGGCAGGATGACTAGAGCAGACTTGGACACATCCACTTATATCACTGATCAACTCTTCAAAAAATGTGTTCTGGCGTCATTTCGATGGAGATGGGTTTGATGGTTATTTCAGTATCTTTGTGGATAGCAACCATTGAGAAAACAGTGAACGGAGTGGATAGATTTCACCATAGTTCCAGGGTTATATCCCAACTTATGGGCTGAAAGCATCTTAAAATCCCACGATGATAGCCATTCAAACACCTCAACTGCAGCCCCAATTAGGGTTTACGGTAAATCTCAATATATCTACCATGAATCCTCATGATATCTACGACTTTTCCATACTTGGAGATATATTGGTGAATAAACTTATGGAAATGGGGTTTAATCTATGCCCCAAATTTGGGGTTTTCCCCATGAAACGTCCTGATTTTCCATGGTGAGAAAGCTCTGATTTTCCAGCGGCCTGCCCAGGAATCATCCCCAGTGGTGCCTGGGAACTGTTAAATTCCCAGAGAATACTGTAGCCTTTGGTAAACATACAAAAAACTATGGAAAGATCCACCATTTTCTAGCTGGGTAAATCCACTATTTCGACTGGGCCATTTTTTGTTAAAGCTATGTAACAAATTCCCAGAGAATAGCCAATATCAGGGGATGATCGAAAACAAGGAACTAGTAAGGAACAGTAAAACTAGTTTTCAAAGTAAAACTAGGCTACTGTGATCCCATTTCCATAGGCTAGTTAGTGAATCTATGGGATATAAATGGGGATATGTTCTCTGGATATATTGGTGAATAAACCTATGAAAATGGACCATACCCAGGCGCCCATATCTCCTTCAGAGAACGTCCAATCTCCGTCACCCTTTACGAGGTCCTATCTCGATCCTTTGCGTCGTGGCCCCAGGAAGGTCCGGGGCCGACCTGAGGTGATTACTTCTTAACCACCAAGTATCGCTAGGTATCCCATTCTATCCCAGTATATCGCATTATGCATATATACAGTATATACATATATATATACATAATATATATATATATACATAATATATATATATATATACATAATATATATATATATACATAATATATATATATATTATATACCAATGATATCCCACAAAAAAATGTCATTATACTGTCATATCCTCACTTATATGCACATTGTATCCCATGGTTATGATTATATCCCAAGAACATATCCCCATTTATATCCCAAGAACATATCCCCATTTATATCCCAAGAACATATCCCTATACATCCCGATTTGTATGTTGGTTACTTTGTTATTAACCAGCTAAGTGAGATGATCCTCCAGGTAGCTCTACTGGTTTCATGAATTTCATTGGAAATCCCATGAATGTTCCATTGGAAATCCCATGTGTATACCATTATATGCAATATATCCCATGAATATTCCTTATAACCCATGTTATAATCCATATTGTGGGATATATCGTATATTTATCTATATCCCATGGTATAGAATAATCACATAGTTTACTTTATCTACAATTTATATGCCACACTATACAGGGTTTGGTAAATGTCCCAAGTATCTGTTGGAGAATATCCCCAATATTTGGGTGATGTTCAATTAGGACATTTACCAACCCCTGCATCAGCTGATGGACATCATTTCATGGCCAATTACTTCAATCATGTGACCATTGATCTGTATTTGATGGTATAGAAGAATCATATTTTACTTTACCATCTCACGATATCACCAAATTTTACTGTACCATATCACTTTACCATATTTTACCCGTATTTCCATGCCACATATCACCCGTCATCACCCCGTATCACTTTGTCCAATGCCCCGTGGACCCCGGTGCCCCGTCACGGCCTCAGGTCATGGATACGTTGCTGGGCCGCTCCCAAGGCTTGAGCTCCATGCTGCTGAAGGCGCCGCTGCCGGTGCCGGCCTTGGAGACGCACACGGTTGAGGCGACCGACGCGACCGACGCTGGGGGATGTTTGTTGGAGCTGACGATGGCGAAGCCCAGAAAAATAAAGGATCTGTAAAAATAGAGGCATTGAAGATATTGAAACTATGGAAAAACTATGGAAAAAACTATGGAAAACTGGGGATGTTCGCCAAAATTGGTGGAAATTGAGGTAAACGAAGCGCAACATTTCCGGGCAAATGGGATGGGTAGGTGAAAATGCTTCAATCCACATAGATGACCTGCTGAGAGGGATCTCTTTTTCATAGGATCCGGGGGAATAAGCCAAAATTGTTGCCAGTAACAAAATGGGGGGTTCCTAAGTCATAGGGGTGCACCTAATTTTTATCCATTTCCATAGGGTTTTCAAATATCAACCAAACATTTTGGGGTGCCCCCATGGATGGACATCCCCAAATGGAAACATGAGGTTTTGTGACAAAGCCCAATTCATGCCATGGACTATCATGATGTTCCATGAAGCAGTTTCTTTACATAGCAATTTTGGTGTGTGATATTGCTCCCGGACACATAAAGTAAGGCAGCCCCCTGGCAGCCCCCTGAGACAAATCCATTTGGGTGGTTGAGGCAATGAAAAGACATGCGTAGGAGCAACAGCAAAAATGTAGAGATGTTATGCTATCACTTTAAGTTACTATTTATGACACATGGTAAAACGCAAACTAAGACTATGACTATAACATACCATAAAGACCACCAAGAGGAATATATAACGGGTCAGGAACAGTAGAATGTTACAAGGTGTTGCGCCCCCCCCACAGTGAAATGTGGGTTGGTTTATGTTAGCCCCATGAACTAGTTTGATATATCTACCATAAACCCAACAGTTATATATTGGAGCCATGTTTACCAGCTCATTATCATACATCAACTTTAAATCACCATTGGTATAGCTTTCAATTCCCATGTTTGATCATTGTTGCTGGTAAAATCACCATGTTTGGTGAAAAAGACTATCATCTGGTTATTTAACATAGCCATGGAAAATGGCCCATTTCTAGATGATTTTCCCATTAACACATCCATTTATAAGGGATTTTCCATGGCGATGTTAAATAACCAGATGGTAGAATAGCCTTCTGCGGGATGTGTCCCCCAGGAGAGAGGCAGCTTGGTGATTGCATCCAGCGTCCCTTCACAGAAGTGCGCAGGGGCGTCACGGGGGGCTGGAAGGGCTGGAAGTCGTGAATAAGGGGGAGGCCCCATTAAACCAACAGATGATCTGGTTGGTGGTTTGGAACATTTTTTATTTTCCATTTCATATATGGGATAATCCTTCCCATTGACTAATATTTTTCAAGATGGTTGAAACCACCAACCAGAGATGATCAGTCGTTAAAATTCAGGAGAAGCAGTTGGAAACGTTGGAATCTTATCGGTTGGAATCGGGATTTTGTCCCCAATTCCAACACTGTTTCAAGTTAAATTGGCAAGTTCGTTGTATACACCATGTACACCATTTTTGGACACATGTCTGTCGGAATTCAATGATCATTTGCCATGTCCAATGGCAGGCTCATCGAACAGCTGGGTCTGGGTGTACCTTTTTCTTTCTGCAATACAAAAGGCGTCACACGATATGTAGCTGCATCGAACACAAATGGGAATAGGTTAATACCTAATACCTGTTGTACATGGATATATATATATATGTATTATACATATATATATGATTATATATGCAATATTTTGTAACATGCGTAAACCATGCTAAACCCATCTAAGCCCAATAGTAAACCATCCCCATGTTTACCAGGAATGGGTTGGAGTGCTCGCAGGAGTTTGCTGCTGCTGATGATGCGACATCTGCTGCCACAGGTAGCTCAACTGTCAGAGTGACTTGGCGTCTGGCCGGTGGTGCTTGAGGTGGTGATTGAATAGAGCTGGCTGAATCATAAACAACCAACCATAAATGATTATATATATATATATATTGCCATAAATGACTATATATATAATTATATATACATATGGCCATAAATGACTATGTATATGGGCACAAATGATAACATATAACAGTGAATCTTGATGACACTATATATGCTGATGACCAGCCTGATGATTGGTGGCTGATCATGCTGGTGGGATTGAACCAGCCCTGTGCAAAAACATGGCATGAAACCAATCATTTTGTGACTCAGAGGTGACCCTTTAATGATGTTTTTGTTTTCCTTTTCTGAGGGCTTCTTAACCACCAACAACAGCTCATTTTTGGCATAGGGTCTTATGAACCATCTATTCTCGGGGTGGTCACCGGCTCCTATGATAAAGCAGCGGAAGCGGCATCGAAAAAGGGTGCTGAACAACCCAGCATGAATTGCTTATATTGTATATTTTTTATATAATATGAATATTGTTCGTATACACTATATATATACATTCAACATGTAATATGTACTGACACTACCTATGTAATGATAATCTATGATAATCTATGATGATATGTACATTGAGACACACCAATGTGTGGTGAAGTCCCTTGCTGATTCGTTGAGCTTGTGTTGAACAGATCACCCGTGCGGTTAGGCTTTGGCCTCGGCAGATGAGCTTGCTGAAACCTGCACAGAAGAGTAGCCTGCAGGGCCGCCCAATGCCGACTTCGGGTGCCTAGGGTGACTTAACCTGCCGAGCATGCATTTGGTTTTCTGTTTACCATCAAGCATATATGGATACATATATATATATATATTATATATATATGGTGTATATATATATATACTACTGATATACTATGATAGTTGGTTGCTGATACCCCAAACATTGGATGTTAGAAGGGAAACTGATGACAAAACATGATATTTTCAGGCATCCAATTTTCCGACAGTCATTGGTTTGGTACAAATGAGCCATTCGAAATGCCGATTGTGATTACGGGTTTCACTAAATACCTGTTGGGGATTACTATAGTGACACTTATTAATCAATCAGTATAATGCTTATAATGGCATGTCGTGATACAGGTATTTGTCATGGCTCAAATCTGTAGAATATATAAATCTTGGTGAATGGCACGTGAATGGTTGTTTATTTGTTGATGATTTGGACAAGAATGGAGGAATATCTGATCTAATGTTGGTCCCTTGCCATTGTCACACCAGCGGAACATGGCCATGTTCCATGCGACTCTCATTTGATATACTTCGAAACCACATGAGGAGTTTCAGGCCATACTCCTCATGTTCAATCATTTTCCCCATTAAAAGTACCATCTGGTTATTTAACATAGCCATGGAAAATGGCCCACTTATAGAGGTTTACCTATTAATAGCATGGTGATTTTCCATGGCTATGTTAAATAACCAGATGGTAGCACTTTATGGTCTACGCCCATTTTTAGACACCCATGTGTTTACCAATTCTCCGTTACTCCCAGTTCCAGGTCGACCACGGCGAATCCAGTGCAGAGGCGGCGATTGATGTTTTTTTTCTTCGTAGAATCAGCATTCAGATGCATTCTGATGGATGAAGAATGGTGATTTAACAATGGTTATTATGGATCAATATGGATTAATATGGATTAATATGGATTAATGATGGATTCATATGGATCAACATGGATTAATATGGGTGATGTTCTGGTTGGTGAATTGAAACATGGCTTTTATGTTCCATTTCATATATGGGATGTCATCCTTCTCATTGACGAACTCATATGTTTCAAGATGGGTTAAAACCACCAACCAGTTTTACTATTAATGATACAAATTACATAAATTTACCATAATATTTTCCATGGTAAATATGATGATTACTATTTATGGATTGAATACCATGGTATGAATCGTGTGATCCTTAAAATTACCATGGTATTAATATGTATTAATGGTGACCAAACCATGGTAGTAATGAATTTATCATGGTGATTAGCATCGTATTTTCCATAGGTAATCAGAATTTCGTAATCAGCAAACATTGCTTCTCGGTTACCATAGTATCATAGTTATGGAAGCCATGACCCATTGATAATCCACCTGAATTCTTCATAAAAGATCACCATTTTAGTTCCAGTGCTTAGGAGGGAGCGGTTACTATGGTGAGCCAGGGAGCTACTAAGACTTTTCCCAATGACATGACAGCTGGGTTACCATAGTTGTGGAATAGATGACCCACTTAGTTTGATGGTTTTACTTGTTAGATCTTATTAGAATGGAGAGATTTTCCATGGCTATCTTCAATTCAGAGAGGCTAACTGGTCTGCTTAGCTCTGAATCCGAACTGAGAACTGAGAACCATGGAATATGCCACGTCTTTACCCCCCCTGAGTCCAAGAATGAACCGAGCCATCGATGTCATGGTGCTTTTCCCATGCCATGTTGGTGAAGACACGGATGTGTCTTGATTAAAATTGCAATAGTTCTTGGCTGAAACTCCAGTTCTTATTGCTGAAGTTCTATCTATTCTATATCATTACATGTGTATGTCTCTAATATTATCATGATATTACATGTTTATGTCTTTAAACCGTTGTTTTTTCATGTTCAAACTACCCAAAAAACCATGCGCATCGCTCCCAGGCTCCTTCCGCACTTGGCGGTCCCTTGGTGAATGATTTCGCAGGAAAGTATGGGAGATGAAATCAGCAAGAACTATGCGAATTGTGGACTATCTATATATTTACATATATTACAGAACATAGAACTATATATGGGAATATTGTGGAATATTATAGATAGTTATTGCTGATTTAATCGATGCATTTTGTGGAATATATAGCAATAACCCTTCAAATCAGATGAATATTGTGGAATATCTTTAATATATATATAAACAAAATATGTATATATATATATATCTATGAATATATATATATATCTATTTACACGCGCCCAATTTTGTATTCTCCAATGTCCCAATTTTGTATCCTCCAATCTTTGATGTTTTCTCTCTCCCAACGGCTCCGAGCCTCCGAGGGGCTCAACAGGCCAAGGGATTACGGTGGTTTATCCCCATTGGACAAAGCCAAGTTGGTCCGTATCTGTTTGATGGTTCTGGGTAAATTTCATCACGACCAAACCCTGTTCGACCACCTCGCCCTGGAATCATGGTGAATGTTTTTTGGGAAATCATCCCCTTTTATGGCCGAACTATTCAGGTTAGTGAAATATTATAATTTACCCAGATGGTTAGTTGATGTTTAGTCCATCTCACCAAAAAGTTGCTGGTTGGTGGTGACTGGAACCAATTTTATGAATTTCCATTCAGTTGGGAATTTCCATACCAGCTGACGAACTTATATGTTTCAGAGGGGTAGGTATACCACCAGTTATTGTATTCAAGCATATTCAACCATGAATTTCTTTCGGGGGTTGATAATTCATAGATATTCATAGTTTCATAGTCTTTAGTGAGCGACCCACATTCAGATTTGGAGAAGCCACCATTTGTAGCGCATGTTCCCAGGGAAAACATTGGTTTTCCAGATTTTTTTGTACGTTTACCCTAGGACAAATACATACCCCTTGGGCCTTGAGGGTGCACCGCAGATGGCACATACTGAATGACCATGATTGATCAGCCACTTATTCATGGGATATCTTGGTTGTGGCTTGTAATATCTAAACCAGTTGCTCAGTGGGATTGACATCCAAGTCTCTATCCCTAGAATTTTCCATTCCATTCCCATGTACAAGGTGGTACCCCCCCAGTTATAAGTTGGTTTATAATCCCCATTAACTATAGATATAACTCCCATAAACCCTAGATATTGGACTTATAAACCAATTTAGCTAACTATGGGGCACCACCATGTATGGTTGGTTTATGATGATGAAAAACTCATCAGCCACATGGCAAATCCAAGGCCGTGATGGGTGCATTTTATGCATGATCTATTCCCATTTATCTCAGCCTCATAGTACCCATGATAGTATCATAATATCATACACATATATATATAATATACATATTAATATGGTACAACCCCATGGTAATACTATATATATATATATATATATATATCCATGGGGTTTTAATGCCATTTACATGGTACCTATCTGTTGATGTCATAGTTGATATTCCCATTAAACCTCCATTTAGTTTGCGGATTTCCCGTCTAGCCATGTTTGATTACCGCAGGGTATACATGTCATGCCAAATATGATCCAGTTATTCCCTCCATATATATAATATACATATGTCGGGGGGTTGTTTCACCTTTGTTTTGGACTGTATCTCCTGTGGCACAGATTTCCCACAAAAGGATGGATGTATTCACGACTTACCGCAGGCTGCGCTTGGAAGACCCAGACGGACAAGAACATGTTTGATCCGAAGTGGTTCGATCCGGAGGAGACGTAGAGACCATCGAAGCCTACGGTCCGAAGAGATCTTTGGAGGACGGCAAGCTGGGTGCAGACGAGCGAGAAATTGAAGATTCCTTACATCGAGTCTCCAGGAAGAGCAGCCTGGGCAACCTCTTTCAAAGAAGCTTGCCTCGTTATATACATATGATTAAAAAAAACTATATTATATATAATATATACATATATATATTACATATATCATATTTAATATATATATATCACATGTAATATATATATATATTAATATATATATATATATAATACATTAGATTACATATGATTATATTTTATTGTATTATATATTATCATATTTTATTGTATCATATGTTATTTTTTGATATCATATTATACTATATTATATTATATCATATTATATTATGATAATACATTTATTATACATCTATTCAGTGAGCCGCATGGTACCCTTAAACCATTTGAAACCATCTCCCGCCTCAAGCGTCCCAGGCTGTGTTATGCTCCCTCTCCCGCTATCCCGGCGAGCCGCGCCGCGCGTTGGTGGCGGAGGCGCGTCTGACTGGCGGAGGATGTATAGATCCCACTTGGTCATGGCCATTGATAGTGGATCTATAGGGTGAATGTATAGGGTTTCATGGTGATTATTATGGGATTATATATATATGGTTCGGGTTATACCATCTGATAAACATACAAAAAGCTACCGAAAATGGCCATAGAAATAGTGAGTTTTCCTATCAAAAATGGTGATTTTCCATAGTTATGTTAGTTTACCGGAGGGTAGAACCCCAGGTGTAAGTGGATTAAGCCTACTTATCCAACTTATAACTGGGGTTATAGCCTACTTCGTAAGTGGAGTGAGCCACCAAGTTGGGACTCTCAGGGACTGACTTCGGACTAACCAACATCTTATTGGATTATAGAAAAGAATAGGTTCAATTTGACGACTATTTTAGTGAATTTTACACTAATCAGTTGAATAGCTATTAGCTATGCAAATAAAGCAATCATGCATTCTGTATGTATATACCCTATGGATTCAGCCGTGCCTTCTTAGGAAGTCTGGGGTATGATCTGGGGGGTATCTTGTGCTTTCGAGGTGTTTGGATCCATCGTGATTACCTTAGTCTAGTTTACTGGGATGGTAAGCTTTTCAATATTTCTTGATGCAGGATGCTAGACTACATGTTCATGATCTCTGAAGTCTTTGTTGGAGAATGTTTCGATTGCTCCAAACTCATGGTGCTGGGAAATCCAGCAACATATACATCATGTAACAGGAAACAACCATGATACCATAGATTTCCCCATGGTTTCTGTATGTTTACCATATGGTATTTGAGAGCCCTGACCTGGGAGCTTGAGAATCTAACTTCTGTGTTGATCATGTATGGTGGATTGGCGGTTTCTTGGGGCGCCCAAAATCATCCAACATGGTCGTATTAGGAAAACGATTGGTTTTGGGGGTCCCCCATTTCATGAAACCACCATGTATTCATTATTGCTGGTCATATCCCAGTAATTAATTAGATCATCTCCTCTATACAACTATATGGAGGTTTCCTGAAATAGGGGTACGCCTAAATTATCAATTTTAATGGGATTTTCCGCTATAAACCATTCATTTTTGGGTATCCCCCACTTGTGGAAACCCCCATATCTATCTATTTCTATTGTTTGTCCCTGTCAAAATCATTTGTTTCACCACGAGCACCACTGAATCCCTCAATAGGTAGACAAATAGAAGGATTCCCCCTATGGAATGGATGGCCATACCCCATTTATCATAATGTTGCTTTTGTAGATCCCCATTATACACCCGTTGTATGTAAAAATCTATATATATATATATATATACATATATATTCTGTTGGTGAAATCTCCCATAGTAGACCTGCAAGGTGCCCCCCCCAGTTATAAGTTGGTTTATAAACTGAGTATCCATGCCTTATTTCCCTTCAAATCTTAAGTCAACTTAGCTAGCGGTTGGGGGACCCTACCTTCTAGATACACATATTATATTATGTATATACTTACTTTTTATGTACTTGTATATATGTACTGGGTGATACCGGTGGTTGGATAGGTCCATATGTTGTTCTTGTCTGCAACTGGGACGGCGACCAACTTGTCTCCAACAGGCTGTAGTAGCCCTTCGCTCACTGGCAGAAGGTCGCCGGTCGCAGGGCTGTGGCGAAGCCCCAACGGGCCCAACGTGGATGGAAGAAATCCCAGTTGATATGTGTTTTACCCTCTGGTAAATTAACATAGCTATTGAAAATTGCCCATTTAGAGCGGTTTTTCCCATTAAATATGGTGATTTTCCATAGTTATGTTAGTTTGCCAGAGGGTATCCCATTATTTATAGGCTTTCAACCATCCTTTTGGTGCAGGATGTCGCAACCATCCACAGTAGGATTGATGAATGGTGATACTTGCTGCGTGATATGTGTGTATGTGTATACATATATATATATACCATCTGGTTGTTTAACATAGCCATGGAAAGATCCGCCATTTTTAAGAACGGTAAATAATCTATTTCTATGGGCCATCTATACCATGGCTATGTTGAATAACCAGAGGGTATATATATATATATTATATATATTAAGTGGGTTGTATCAACTGGGTGATTAGTGACCTCTAGACTCGAGGAAATTTGAGGAACAAGACATCGTGATTGCTTAGCTTGCTGAGAATTATGGGGATCAATGGCTAAGGTAAGTGCGTGGGAGCCGACTACATCCCAATTGTAGGGAATCAAAATCAAGTTCCCAATCATTTCTCCTCTGGTATACAAGCTAAACATGGCAATGGAACATCTCTCATATATATATATTATATATACACATATATGATGTGTATATATATATACATACACATATAGTTCGATGATTTTCCCAGCTAGAAACCTCCATTTAGATTGTTTTCCAGCCTGCGCCATGTTTGATGACACCGGATATTACCTTTCAGGGATCATCCAAGCCAAAGAGTTCATCTAAAACGCAACCGCTGATTTTTGATCTTGTTCAGAGGCCCCATTTGAATGTCAGAGTTTCCAGGAGCATATTCTACCCAGCTGAGCAATGTTCAATAGCCCTGTTGGCTGATGAATGTAGGGGCTATACGGCTATACTATCCTTCAAATATTAGGGATTCTCATCATTTATGAAGTGGGAATCCCTATGAACCAAGAAATATACTGAAATGACCCAAAGGTTTCTCAAATATCTCAGTCATGCTGTTGCAATCGGTACCTTTTTTTGCAGCTTTGGACCGCTGCCAGGTCCCAAATCGGCAGAGGAGGAAGGAGAGTACGGAGCCCAGGTCCAGCCCTGAGAGGGTTGGAGCCACGGGGTCCTTTTTGTATCTGGGTGGAGTTGGAGAAGCAGTAATCCCTTCCTAATCTGAAAAAAAAACAAGGAACCATGGTAAAAAGTATGGGATATACACATATAAACGGAAGCATCTATAGTCTATAGGGAGTGTTTCATATTGGATGCGATTTTTATAGAGATATAATGATGCAGGAACCGCTCTATTGACTCTATTATCATAATATATTATGTTAATATATATATATATATCTATATATATTAACAATGATCCAATATATCTCTATAGTATCATATTTTTCTGGGATAGATATGGGACTTTTCGGAAGGACCAGAACCAGGTTCTGTTTTTGTCACGGGGGATTCACCTGGCCTTTTGAAAATTGGCGCTTCATCAAGACGGTACTATGATGAAGCAGTAGATGAAGCGGGATACCTGATTTTCAAAGCCAGGACCTTTGTGGATCATATATATATATATATGTATTATATATATATTATATATATATTATATATATTATATATTATATATATTATATATATTATGTATATTATGTGATGTTCCCATTCTATTCCCCATGACATTCCCATTATATCATAGTCCCATTCTACTCCCCCAACAAAAAGGGGTCACATCGTGTCACTGTCCATGGCTTAAACGGGGAATTTTCCAGCTAGCCTCTGGTAATTTGTTACAGTTTGCTATTGAAAATGGCCATAGAAATAGTGAGTTTTCCCATTAATAGCATGGTGATTTTCAATAGTTATGTAAACGTTTACCAGAGGGTAGCCATGTTTGATTATGACAGGGTTTGTTGGGATATCATGGGGATATCATGGGAATATTGAGAGGATCAATTGGGTTTTCAACCATCATTTCTTTGCTAACATACCAGCGTACACCCTATGCCCAGCAACCATGATTTTGACCCCACACGTGACGGGTCAAACTTGCATAATTCACTACCCCAATTCTTTTGGATGGTTACCAAAAAGTACTAAAAATAGATAACTCCAATTCTTTTTGAGTACCCCAATTCTTTTTGATGCTTACTAAACATAGATATCCTCTGGTTATTTAGCATAGCTATGTTATAGATGGGTCATAGAAACAAAGGATTTTCCCAGCTAGAAACCTCCAGTTATAGCTATGTTTATCTGTACTGGTAACCTATTGTTTATAGCCTGTTATAACACCCAGTTATAGCTATGTTATAGCTATTCTTTATTATAGCTATATAACAGATGATTTATCACCAGTTATAGCTATGTTTATCAACCATTTATATATAGCTATGGAAAATCCCTATTTTTCATGGGTAAATCCACTATTTCTATGGCCATTTTCAATAGCTATGTTAAATTACCAGAGGGTATTTCATGGAAAATCCCAATCTATAATATGATGAGAACTAGGGGTACCCCCATTTCAGGAAACCTCCATATTTATGTTATAGCTATTGTTTATTACAGCTATATAACAGATGATTTATCAACCATTTATAACCTCTGTGGTCCCCCCAGTCTTTTTCCAACGGCTTAGCCCGCCAGGTGGCCACCACCTCCACGATCCTGGCACGTCTGCTGAGCGCCGTGCCGGCCAACGAGCGCAAGGAGTTGGCGACGAAACGGAGAAAAGATGAGGAAATGATGGGGATTAGAATGGGAATATACCAGTTGAATTTCCATGATAATGGAAAATAATTACAATAATTCCATAATTATTTGGGATAACCCAATAATTCAATAACCCAAATATTATAATTAACATGATAATGGATGATAATGGGAAATATTTGGGTGATTGCCATGGTAATTATCTATTTGGGCTTTATATATCTTTATATCCTATGTAACATGGTGTTTCTTCACAGTAATTTGATTTGACTGTGGGCCTAGAACACGTTGAACAATATCTTAATAAGCATCGATTTACCGATTTACCACCATGTTAGTAGGATTCTCCAGATTTCTTTGAGGGTTGATATGAACCAAAGATGATGAATTACAAGGACCTCACAGGCCGAGTTCACTGGTTGAAGGATGGGAAACACTCATTTTTTCTGGGCGAATTCTCGTCATTTGTCCAGATTTATGACTACATATGGGTATGGGTCAATACCTATAGATACATTTTTAGTGGGTTGAACATCCATTTACCAGCTATTTTGATGTTCACCAGGGGTACAAGGTTTTGACACACTGCCATATGTCAAAATAAGACAGTCATGATCAGTCATGAGTCATAAGGATACACGGAGTATAAAACAGGAATACCACGGGATAGATCACCAACAACATGATTTTTGGTGCTGTCTTGAAGTGGGATATATATATATACCCCAAAAAGTTGATATTTTTCATAGGGAACATGATGATTATGGAACTTTTGGGTGTCCTATGTTCAGACAAAGCCATACTTCCTGCAGAACAATTACAGTAATTTGGTCTAGCAGTCAATGGGAATTCCAGGATCCTAAAATGGAAGTACTGTACCATATAAGGCCATATTTTGTGGGGATATTCCCTGAAATTTAGGCCTGCACAATAGGCCTTTTTTTATGGTAGGTACCTCCAATCAATCGGTTCCTGAAATGGCCATTGAACCAGAGATGAAACCTGATCATATTTTAGGGATTAAGATCGTGCCGCCATTACCTCCGATACTCCATGGCAATGGACCATCACCGATGAAAATCGGGGATTTCCGGATGGGCCACTAAAATGAGTACCAGGGGGTCAACTAACCATAACTGGTTGGTGGTGACTGGAACCATGGAATTTTATGACTTTCCCATCATATTGGGAAGAATGATCCCAACTGACGAACTCATATTTTTCAAGATGGTTAAAACCACCAACCAGATAAGGATAGGGACTTGAAGCCCAAACATAGGATGGGCCGTGAGGGATATTTTTTTAGATCGGCCATGCGGAAGGGAAATGCGCAAGGTGAATGCGCAAGGTCCGTGGGTTGATAGTTGGTCTTCTTGTGCCGCTAAAGCCAGAAATGGATACCCTCTGGTAAACGTTCACAAAAAACTATGGACAGATCCACCATGCTATGAATGGGAAAATCCACTATTTCGACTGGGCCATTTTCAATAGCAAACTGTAACAAATTACCAGAGGGTACTTGGGGGTGACAGGACTGCGATGAAACTTATGGATATATACCCATGGTGAGTTCATCTCCATTGGGATATGGTGCCCATATATGGTGCCCTACAATTAACCTCTGGTTATTTAACCTAGCCATGGAAAATGGCCCATTTAGGTGATTTTCCCATTAAAATCTCCATTTATGAGGGATTTTCCATGGCTATGTTAAATAACCAGATGGTATGGGTAATATTACCACTTTGTTCCCTGGAACTACACCTCCCCGAGTACTTTGTGTCAAATAATGGCGTTGCACCATGAGAAAGTTGCCATTGGTGCTTTCAGCCATCAATTTTTGACACTCACTATACAAGATGTAATCTACGAAAAAGAACATGTACCCGACCATCGCAGTGCAATTTCAATGCTTTCTCGTTTTCAGAGGCGTTTCTTCCTTCCCTGCTCACTGGATTTTTCCCCAATCTTCGTGAGATGTTTGTGGGTTGAGATTTCAAGGGCCGACCTGGAGAGAATGATACCCATAGAATGGTCGTTTTTCATGGACAATATGAACCACGGTAAACCGCAAGAGATTGGGGTAGTTACCATATTTCCTGACAAAACCCCTAAGTAGAAGACCGGGTTATGAAAGAAGGTTATCGAGCTCCACCCTCTTTGGGAAAACCCCTATGCCAAAAGTGGGGAAACTAAGGCATTACTGTATACCGTGCGTACCATTTGGTAATTTATCATATCGCTATTGAAAATCACCATGTAATTTATCATATCGCTATTGAAAATCACCATGTTTTAATAGGTAAATCATCTATAAATGGGCCATCTATACCACTTAGCTACTGTGGATGGAAGAAATCCTGCACCACCGTGGATGGTTGAAACCCTATGAATCATTGGATAAACCACATGTCAACTCGGGATTTCTTCCATCCTATTGTATGTCAAAATATGCCATCGGGCAACTGGGTCAACGTGTCACCAGGAGGACAAAGATGCCGCAGGCACGGATGCAACCACTCAGGAGCAATTCCGGGCAGGGTCTGCCTTGACTTCGGCCGGATGGGCTTTGTAGCCTATAGTTACCTCCAAAAAAAAAGATGAACAGAAATTTAAATCACCATTTTAGATGCGGCATTTCCCAACTTCTATTTTCAACTTGGTGGTTACTATATCATATTTCTGGGTAAATGGTAATCATTAACAATAAACCTGAGAATCTGGGCTATATTGGGATTATTTCCTTTACGAATGTCCTTTATAAGCTCGGCATTCCCGAAAGAGCCGGTGATCATTTGCCCAGGGGTCAGCGCGATGCGGCGATGGCTATGGAAAATCACCATTCTGAACCTAGGTAAATTAACTATGTCTATGGCCATTTTGAATAGCAAAATGTAACAAATTACCAGAGGGTATGTAATATGTTTTTTTGGATATGTTTGAGTTGATGGATATTGATTGTCATGTTGTATTTTCAGATAAATGTGAGCAGGTAGTTTAGGTTCTATGGCTTACCTTCCCGTGTCATCAGTCAATCAGGATAGGACCTTTATAGTCTTTTGGCAGCTTCTCAGTCCAGCGCCTCACTCTGACAGCGTGACCTTTGACCAAGGTTGTAGGAGAGGATTAGATTAATTTTTTAAAGGTGAAACCACGTACTACTACTACTACTACTACTACTACTACTACTACTACTACTGCTACCTGCTAATACCTACTACTACTACTACTACGTACTACTACCTACTACTACCTACTACTAGCTAGTACTACCTACGACCGCCTACTACTATTTGTACTACCTACTACTAACTATTAGCTACTACTAGCTACTACTACCCACTACTAACTACTAGCTACTACTAGCTACTACTAGCTACTACTAGCTACTACCAGCTACTATATAGTCATATGGTTGGGATACAGAACTTCTCATTGGACCACTCCCAGACCGCGTCCCGAAATTGGGAGGATCCGAACAATGCGTCACCACGGCTGAATGCTCTGGACCATCCCAGCGGTAGCTTGGATGGCTTGGACGCGGAGTCGCTTCGTTCATGGATAACTCATCAACAGAAATGGCAATATCTGACATAAATTATCATCCATATATAGTACTTATACAATAATGTACATATCTATGTACATATCTAATTTTAGGTATATATATATATATATATACATCATGTTCAAGGATATTTGAAATGAATAAAAGAACGCTCAAACCCCATCGCTTTGGGATTGATGGGTCCAAACATGAAGTATTGCAGTATGTGACCCCGAAAAGGTGGACATGCGTCTAATTGATGGCCATTTCAGGTTTGAACATTGTGATCAGCCAATAGATTTCTAGCACCCAAAAGGGCCGCTGCCATTGAGTATGATTGTACTACCCTCTGGTAATTTAACATAGCTATTGAAAATGGCCAGTTATAGTGGAACTCTTTCCAGAACCATCGGTGAAAAAACCCTTGCCATGAAATGGGAATGCACCATTTTCATTGCCCGTATCTTTGGCGCAAACATACCCACATTAAACGAAACTTAACATGGCTCAGTAGAATGTGGTTAAAGTTCCAACTTTACCCTTTAGCTCCTAGATTCCTCGATGAACAGGTGGGGAAAACTGGAAGTGTTGATCATCGCTTTTGTCAACCAGTTTACCAACCATTTTTTTCTTGAACCATTTTTTCTCCCTCCAGGAAACTCTAATTGAAAGTGAATCTGTTCATGTTGAAGTCCCACACGTCAGGGGCTGGGATTACTCCCTGGGAGGTGGCATATGGTTGCTGAAAAAATCAGCACCCTCGCAAAATGGATGGCAAATGCAAGAAATGATTCCACAATCATAAATATCTTGGTAACACCAACTATCGACCGCCCGAACATATTTTCCGGATCCATTGCTACTCGTATAACACTAACCAAAACATATTTTTCGGTAGTTACTAGATGAAGTATATGATCAATTACTGATATGTTGATTGCCCCGAGATTTCTACCTACCATTGCCGTTACTATATGTTGTGGTCGGTAGCGATTCCATCACCATTGATCTGAAGGTTTGCCATCCGGATCCGAGGTAGCAATGCTGCTGCGCCTCCAGCCAAGAAGGTGAATGAGATGGCATGGGAATGACGCGAATTGCAAGCAATCTAACGGTATTAATAGCTATGGCAAATATGGCAAATCGCCTAATTGGCAAATCATCAAACAATATCAAACATCATCTATAAGTGGATCATTTTTTTTATAGCCATGCTAAATAATTAATCATGTGTTACGTAAGTAGGTGAATGTTCTTTCTTCAGCCAACCAAGTGGGATCCCCCTATCTTGTATGTGCTGGGAGGTGGCTGGATGTGGTGACCACCTTTGCAGCTGCTTGACTCCCTGAAGAGTTTCCTTGTAAGAAACGTTAAAAAACTCTTGGTGTATCCTGCATGTGAAGCCATGGCTATGGTACCTAGTGCACCCCGAAATAGATGGTAAATGGATGTTCATCCCACTAAAATTGACAATAATAGGTTTTGACCCACCTTCACATAGTGTCATATCTGAGTTGATGTTCATCTTGCGATGGTGGATCAGAACTGTAGGCACGTGACACAGAAATCCCACAGTAGGGAACATGTTCTAAGGTGGTCATCAGCAGATTTTTGTCATCCCAACCCGTTTTCACTTCCCAGCCATATTAGGCAAGTGCCTTTCTTCATACCTGCGAGTGATGTTTCGTACATGGAACCAGAGCCTTTGACCTTTCAACAGATCCTCCAGGCAAATCCAGATGGCCATGCATGGAAAGCATCCGCCTTGTACGCGTCATGAACTCCAAACTTTTGTCCGGAAGAAATCATCACTTCCCAACCATTGACTTGGACCGTCAGGTGATCAGTCCTTGGAACTTGAGAATCTTTTCCAATGCTCGGTGTCCTTACCGTTTTTCCTAGCCCTAGAGTTAGAGGCCTTGAGAGCGCGACCGAAGCGGTCATTGACAAATTGCCCCAAGATACCGAATTGGAAACCTCAGCATAAATATGAGGGTGTATTGGGACCCATTCATGCATCAACATTTTGTTGTTTGCTATATCCCACAAGATTGTGTTGGTCATTTTCAGTATTGGTCATGTAGGTGTGATTTGATTTGCTAATTATGTGCCCGTTGCCATTAGGTCCACATTTTCTCAGTCGTTTTGCTTGACTCCCTTCTTATTAAATTCCCCTTTTGATGATAAAGCTATAGCACAATGATGCTGATGATGATACTCGCTATATACTCGCTAATATTGATTTTCAACCCTAGTATATATCCATATAATTATGATCCCTGGAGTTATCCATTGTTCCCAATAATCATCTCTACAAGCATTCCAACAACAATGACAATCCCTACGGATCCGAACGCATCCTGAGAAGGTACCTTGCCCCCTGAATCATACCCCAAATACTCCCTCATAAAGTACGGCTGGGAATCAAACATAGTAAACCATATTGATCTGGTTGGTTGTTTTTTTCCACATTTGGATTATTTTTGCCACATATTGGGAATGCCATCCCAACTGACGATTCGTCATATTTTTCGGAGGGGTTGCTCAACCACCAACCAGTTGAACCCCCAAAAAAGTTGGTCCCAGAGACTCTCCCGAACGGGCCAGGCTCGGACTCGGAAGGATTCGGGGCATTTCACCACGGCCAGTGACATGAATGTGGGGATTCTCAAGGCATGGGAAAACCGCTGGGAAAGCCGCTTGGAAAATGATGATTTCAGCCACAAATCATGGGAATTGATATCTAACTCTAGCGACCTTACTGGCCAAGGTCACTGTTTTGGTCATGGTGGAACTGTTTTTTTTGCCTAAAATCATCTAATTTGAGGCTGGTCATTACCATTCGACCAGATTTTCATGGTTTCTTCAACCGCAGGAAGCCACCAAGAGTCTTTCACGACAGAGTTTCTATCTGGGTGAGTCACAGCAGGTGAAACCTCAGCTAACAAGTGCAATGGCATTCTCCCCTTGGATTTATGGGGATGTATCGCCAAACCACATGGGGGAAACAGCACCTACTAGCATTACCTACATAACTATATAAATCCCCAAGAAATGTTGCTTAGACTCCAATTTTCCCTGCGATTTCAAAAAAAAATATGAATTCATCAGCTGAAACTAGCTTAAGTTGAATTCTCATAGCAGTTTTGATGTTTGTCCCTATTTCGGTTGGTGAGATTGGTGAAATGCCTGTGTTTGGTTGGTTAAAATCCTCCATTCTTGGACAAACCGATTGTTCTTTCAATTGCCGTTTGGATAAATCCCACCATTTTTCTGGTGAATCCATTTCTTACTGTTTTACACATTGTTATCACGATTAATATTATATATATAATCATATATACTATATACTATATATACATATATTATATATAAGCTTCACTATAGTCCATTGCAGTTGTTTAGTCATTCCAATGCGTTTAAATCCTCATGTGTTTTGATTGAGTTAAATACGTATGGTCAAGATTTGATCGTCAAATATTTGCTGATTATAAATCAAATCATTTTAGTTCACCATTTTTGATGGTTGCATTCGTTCCCCTTGACTCAGGAATGGACTCCTGATAAATTGGTTGATCACGGTTTCTCAATAATAAACAGGATTTATGGTGGATATATCTACAATATTCTACAATTAGATGGAGTTCCAACATGTCATAAACCAACTTCTTGTTTGAATCTCATTTCAAAGTGACCAAAATAACACAACACCATTAAATCATGCTGAAATCATGTGAAATCATGGAAAGTGTCATGGTTTCCCAGCATTTCTGGCTCCATTTCCATCCATTTCCCCCGTTGCCAAGGCCCTGCGCGAAGCCTTCGCGGCGGTGCTGCAAAACCTGCCGCTGCGCCGGACAGAGTCCACCCTGGTCGCCGGCAGCGTGGTGAGGCGTGGAAGCCATGGTCCATGGATGGTTTACCTATGAAAAATGGTGGATCTTTCCATGGCTATGTTGAATAACCAAAAGGTACAAAGTAAAGCCCCCGGCCACGATAGCTAAGTTGGTGCACACAACTCCAATAACTATGGTTTATGGTACTTATAACTATAGTTAATGGGGTTTATAAACCATCTTATAACTGGGGGGCCCCACCTTGTCACTGTATGGTAGATATAACGAACTAGTTCATGGATGGGAATGGGGTGTATAAACCAACTTATAACTACACTATTACTCTCTGGTAAAGTTTACAGTTTGCTACTGAAAATGGCCCATAGAAATAGTTGATTTACCCATTAATAGCATGGTGATTTTCAATAGTTATGTTAAATTACCAGAGGGTAGCCTCTGGCAAAAAGCATCAAACAGCTATGGAACATCACCATCCTTTAAGAGGTAAATTGACTATTTCTATGGGTCATGTTCAATTAAATTACCTGAGGGTAATGTTAGTAAAACCATAGTAACACGCAACACACGAATCTGACATTTGCCTTTTTTTTGCACCAAAAGGGATATATTCAACAAACCATCACTTGTGAAATCTGGAGTGTTGCCGGCCAAGCGTTTCTTAATTCAGTCACCTGTGGGAAAGACTTGCTGATGATTTTTCTTTGTTTGCTGGCTTCGCCGCAGGTGTTTGGAGCTGCTGACGCGTCGCGAAGTGGCGGCCCCGGCAGGTGCCAACGATGGTGTTGGGTGTCTTTTAAAAATGCCAGATGATGGCAATTGGAATACCCATATGCTCCATGTATGGTATATTTACCTACATTTGGGTGATTTTTAGGGCAAATGTTGGTAAATATTCCATACATGGAGCATATGGGATAGGAAATATGATGAGAAATCATGAAATGTTTGGTTATATACCCCAACTATTTTTAGACAAAGCCATTTTCAACATAAATCCGAACATAGCCCATTTTTGGTGGAGTTGGGGATGAAGCCACTTATGACTGGAACCATAGAATTAGGGTGTTTAGCCGGAGTGGGGGATGGGATTATAGATTACCAGATCCATGGTATAGATAGATATATCGATAGATTAGATAAACATAGATAAACCAATTATAGTTATAGATAGCTATAACTAATTACAGATGGATATATCCACCATAAATCTTACCGGAGGGTTAGGGTCATCCATCCCATCAAATTAGAATCCATATATCATGATCATGTCATTATACCACTTGGTTTGACATAACAGCCATCATAATAGTTACCAGAGGGTATCACCACCAAGTGGTATAATGATATTAAAAACCAGTGGTGTCAGGTAATTTTGTTAAAAAACCAGTGGTATAATGATATATGGTTTGTCACCACCAACTTACAAAACATACCACTTTGTTTGACACCAACATAACACCATCATAATAATTACCAGGGGCATAGACTCCAGATATCATGATAGTATTATTACTGGTTGGTGGTTTGGAACATTTTTAATTTTTCCCATCATATTGGGAATGTCATCCCAACTGACGAACTCATATTTTTCAGAGGGGTAGGTATACCACCAACCAGATGATTATTAACCATCATTAACCATATAATAACCATATCATAATCATACGTATAATAACCATATAATAACCATATAATAACCATATAATAACCACATAATAACCATCTACAGCCCGAGAGCTGGTTAAGAATCCGAAAGCTTGAGGCCCAGGGTCAGCCAGGGTCCCTCAAATTCAATACTCTAGCTCCAAGTTACCCAAATTCAGAAAATGTACATATACTATGAATCCATCGTACTCCAGACCTGTCTCTTTGGACCCACTGTTTTCCCAACCTGTTTCCCTGTGTGTAACATATTTCACACCTGTGAATTGACTGGTTGCGATGGGAAGACCTTTCAGCTCAATTTGGAAATTGTTTGGCACCATGTCGATGCCTTGTGTTGTTCCTGAAATGCGATGGAGCCTGGAAGAACTAAAGCGTGTCCTGATAAGTGAGTTTCCCATTTTGGAGACTGAAGAAGGCGAGGGTTTCAACAGATTGTTTGACTTGTTTGTTGTGGGCTGAAATCCTGTTAAATTACAACAACCAGCATCCGCCCACTCCGTTGAATTTGGGGAATTGTGGCCCAGAATCCTTCTCTCAGGGGATTTCCGGCCGCGCATACTCATGTCGCATCGCACTCGAGGGGTGTCATCGCACCCCAGAGGACCCCATCGCACTCCACACACCTACTCACAGATCATCGTACTCCACAAAAGGGATCGTACACCAGAAAAACTTGCACAGACAGCCAAAAACATTTTTTTTCGAAAAATTGACCTGAAGAGCTTGTTTTATTTTTTTTCCCTCTTCGGAGGTAAAATGCTCTGGAATCTGATAATATGGAATATGGGGGAAATTGTTGTTTTTCCAGCGTTTTGAACAGTCGCGCATACAATCGCATTCCATGAAATTTTGATACTTTTGACCCGTGGAGGCTATGGAAATTCTCGATTGTTGTCTTAGTCGTGCGCATTCGTGCGCGATAGAGTGTGATGCCTTGTGGGTATGTGGAATGGAATTTGCAGCCTCGAGTTGATCAAAAATGATATTAACATATGCCTGAGAAGCCCACATGCAGGAACGGCAACGCATACGGGGGGGGCATCGTACTCCAGGGGTGGCATCCTACTCAATGTAACTGTATTAAGTGGAAATATGGTACCATTTGGGTTCGAGGAAGAACAGCGTAATCCAGACTTGGCCCGTTTAAAGATGCGGAAGCTGAGCCGCCAGCCAAACGCGTCAAAAAATAAGCTGAACAGCTTATCCAATGGTTTTAACAGATCCTATAGAGAGAAGCTGATGATTGATGAGAGAAACAAGACTTTATGATTATGTTTATTCAAGAAATCATTGCTTGAGAAGGTTCTCAGCGGGGTTAAACATGTGCGACTGGACATGATAGCACGTGACAAGGGAGCGCCTGACAAGGGTCACACAACCTTATTCTCATCATCAAAGGTCGTTCATTATTTTCCAAATTTCCGGAGCTATTTGGGCATGGAATATGAACAGCCTTGGAATATGGGTAAGATTTTGCTAGAAATACCAATCCTTTCAAAACCAACAACCATTAATATTAATCATATATTGACCATTATTAACAGCAGAATCACGTTGGATTTCCCCAAATCATCCATTTTAATAGGATTTCCCATTATAAACCATTATAAACCATGATAAACAATGTAACAACCATATAATAACCATATAATAACCATATATTAACCATATAATAGGCATATTTGATGGTAAAAACAATGGTTTCCTCTAGATTTTCCCTTAAACCAATCCCCCTGGTGTCAGGTGCAGCCGACAGCACGGGTCCTGCGGGTCCCGCGGGTCCGCCCCCGGGCGCCACCCCCTTGACTCCGCCGGGCGAACCTCCGGCGGGCTTCCCCAAGGGCAAAACGTGGCCGATGTGGCGTGAAAACGTTGGGACCGGGCATTAAAAAAGCGGAGTTACCAACCATTTTGAAGGGAAGTCTTGGCTACATTATATATATATACATGTATAATATATATATATATGATATAGATATAGAATATATATATATATGTATTATATATATATGACCAGCAATAGTGGGTATTACTGTAACTAGTCATGTGGGACAGTTCATCCCGAGGCGGGACTTGCCAAGAGCTCGGACTTCCCATGAAATGGGATTGGTAATGATTGGCATTATATATATATATATATAATATGGGATTCAATAGGATTAATTAGATAAATGAAAATCAATGCTGGAACTTGATTTTAGTAGCATTTTAGTAGCACGGCATTTTCTTGGCACGATCCAACAAAAAAATATGTTGGGAAAACTGACGTTGCTGGCGACCTCCCTGATGCTTTTTGGGAGATCGACATCTCTAGAATAGAAACTACAGAAAGATAGAAAAGCGACATCATTGAAAAAATAGTGATAAATTACTATTCTATCTTTTTGCAGGGTTACCGTATACATGTGATACTATTTGTAGTACGGGTTTCATATAGTTGTTTTTTCAGCATCCTCCAAGTTTTCTGTTTGAAATTCCGGCTGCCTGGAAACCAGGAATTCCGGCTGCCGAGTGGCGTAGCACATCGATGCCCTGAAATTTATGCGAAAATGAATCTGGATCATCCTAAATTTCATACAATGTGGGGCCCCCAAGATAGCTAAGTTGGTTTATAACTCCAATAACTATGGTTTATGGTACCTATAACTATAGTTAATGGGGTTTATAAACCATCTTATAACTGGGGGGCCCCACCTTGTAGCAATAGCAAGGGCCCCACCAGTTATAACTTGATTTACAACCTACCCTCTGGTTATGACTAACATAGCCATGGAAAGATCCACCATGCTATTAATAGGTAAACCATCTATTTCGATTAGGGCCATGGCTTCCATGGCTATGTTAGTCATAACCAGAGGGTTAGTATGCATATATCCACAAAAAACATAAAAAAAAACAATCGGTAACGATCTAGTCTGATTCCCCACTTAACATCCTAAGCCTATGGATCCAGCCATACCTTCTCAGACAGTGGCCATGGATCCATAGGGTAAATCCATCTCAATCCTATCCTGATTGGTGGTTTGGAACATGTTGTATTTTTCCATTTAGTTGGGAATGTCATCATCCCAACTGACGAAATCATATTTTTCAGAGGGGTTGGTTGAAACCACCAACCAGATTTTTTTTACCCATCATTAACCATATAATAACCATTAATATTAATCATATATTGACCATTATTAAGAGCAGAATCATATTGGATTTCCCCAAATCATCCATTTTAATAGGATTTCCCATTATAAACCATTATAAACCATTATAAACCATTATAAACCATTATAAACCATTATAAACAATATAACAACCATATAATAACCAAATAATTTTAGTAGGCATATATTAACCATATATTAACCATATAATAACCATATAACAACCATTATTAACAGTATATAAACCACCAA